TTAAATCTCGATCGATCGCGGAACGTAAAATGAAAGAGTCTATAGGGGAAGAAAGATAGAGAGCGGCGGCGGCGGCGGCGGCGGCGCGGGCTTTTCTCTACAGCCCTCATAACGCTCCAAGTTTGTACGGACCAATAACCTTCCAGAACGCTATTAAATCGTATGATAAACCCCGCCGCACATCGTCGGGGCTTACGCGGCCGGGATATAAAACGGCGGGGAAAAGGTCGCGCCAGAGTGCACAATAAGTAAACCCCTTGCGCCAGTGAATTTTTGCTGACGCGACGCGACGCGACGCGACGCGCGCGGGGCAGAGCGCGTCCATGATGCAGCTGTTACCGGACCGATGTGCACAACACTGCACCGACACGCTCTTTTTAAAGTAACATGAAGCTCCCGTGATCGCGCCGGACACTCGGGCGACTCTATGCTCCTCTATCGAAAGCAATCTGCGGTGATATTTGTTACTAATTACTCTATTAGGAAAGTGGGATTCTCGCCAATTAGTCTTCACTATAGCTTTTTAATCATTAAAGTCGCACTTTTCAGTTTAATATAAGCTCATTAATTTTATCAGCGTTTTAATTTTTTTTCAAATCCTTTTATGCATCGGGTTTTTAATTATTTATCTATCGCCAAGAAGGTAATTTTTTACCAATTTTTTAAATATTGCTCTTTAATTAATAGAATTTTATTTTAGTTTAATTTAAGCTCGTTAATATAATTCCTATTAATGTTTTAAGTTCCTGTTACTTTTCTGCGCGCTTTAATATTGATTAACTGCATAATGCTCTACAGTTTAACAAAAAAAAAAAATTGCAAAATATACGAGCGCAGTCAATTTCATCGGTGCAGCAGATCGGCGGTGTTGCCTTTAGCTCGCGTCTTAAACCCGGCGTACACTGCAATGTCGATATACTCGTGCGAGAATCAGTGAAAAACCATTAATCATCCCGATACCGTTTAGTCACCGGCGCTTTTCCTCGAGATCAGCAACACGAACCGCGATTGATTTCGCGATCTCCGCGATTCCATGCCGCCTTTCCTTCGCTACTTGGCGAATCGAACGTTACCTACGCTGCGATCCTTGTGTCTCGCCGATCGCGCGTTGCCGGCTTCGGGGACGACCGGAGTCGACCCGAGAAGATTACGTGGGCGAGTCGCGGCACGCGGGTGCAGCTGCATCGACTGGTCAATGCATTCGCGGCGGTAGGTGATTAATCACCTTGCTCCGGTTTCGACGAGATGCACTTCCTCCCCTCTGGTATTCCGCATCGTTATGAAAAGAATGAAAAAAACCAGCGCGATCCAGCCGCCGGTCAACCGGTCCTGGTGACTTTTCAGTTTCCCGCGGAATCGACGACGAGAATTCCGTCTCGGCGCCTCGATTCCTTTCCGCGGAAATCGTCGTCGGGTTTCTTCTCTATCGAGCGGCGGTCGATCGCGCGACCGGTCGTCGTAAAAACGCGGTCCTCGCCGCGCCGCGTACAGTCATCTCTTCCTCCGCTTCTTCGTTGCCGACGAGGCGGCTCGCACGGCGGATTATGCAAAGTCGTCTTACTCGCTCGTCGTCGTCGTCGTCGTCGACGCGAAATGCACTCGTGCGCTCACCTCCATCCATTATCAGCCGGCGATCAAGTGTCGTCGTCGCGCATCTCACGGGCAATTCTGCGGAGTCGAAAGGCCCGAGTTGTGTTAGCCTCGCGAGGCCAAGATCACGCCCGTTTCGCCGACTTCGCCCGTGCAACGTGCAATTACACTCGCGTGTAATCGCTAAAACCATCCGCAGCGATGCGAGTGCACGCGCAACGGTCGTTTGCGTGTGACGTAACGGACCGTTTTTCCGGTTCGCGTGCGCAAGAAGATTCAACGGCGCGAGATAAATATTATTGAAAGACTCTCGCGCAAATATTATCGAATAAACAATTTTTTTCGATATATTGGGATGAAAAAAGAATATTTATTAATTCAGGAAAATTTTGTGGAATACGTAAGAGATTTAATTTGAACACCGGATATCTTAGGCGGAATTTAAATTCTGTCCTTAAGAGACTCGGTGTCTCGTCGAGAAGAAATTTTCTCTCCAAGAGACACCGCTGCTCGGCAAGATGCGTCACTATGTTAGCTCAAACATTTTAAGCACATGTGTGTCAGCAGTTTTTAGTCGAAATTATGAAGAAACGCAGATCTTAATATGCGCCAAGGTTTAAAGATAGTACGTATAATAATTATATTTTCACGTATCTCTTCAATTGAGCTATCAATTAAGCGTTCTTATAACATTTATTTCCGTAGCTTTCGCGATACTCGTTATTTCTTAATTGTTTCCGCTCTTATAAGAACACAATCAATCGTTGAGCGCACACTTAATGGTTAATCGATCAGCTGCTAGCCATTTAATCCCGCGACCGATTTCTCCGGATAGAAATTTCGCGTGCAATTGATTCCAAAATTTCATTTGCTTCTCGCATTTTCCCGGAATGTAAATAGTCCATTAGCCGAGATCCCGCGAATCGTAAAACGAGGTTCCCTCGAAGCATTAATCGCCACGCCAAGAGTGATTTCGCATTTCTTCGAGAGATTGCTGCTCCGAAACACTTTTCCTACGTTGGAACTTTAATGGAACGCGAATGGATTCTTTTTCAACTTGCGAAATATGATGGTGCACGTAGCTGGAAAGCGAGGCAAGGGCGTGTTTCTTCAGCGTGCACTCGCGCTGACGTGCGACGACCGTGAGTGCAATTCGCGCCGCATTGACTTTAGTCAATTATCATGTGAGCGACGACGATCGATCATTCGACGCTGTCGCTTCCGGAGACGTTTCATTTCCTCCTCCCCGCCCGTTTGCGCGTGCATCGAGCATCCCCGAACTATCTGCATAACCCCGCGACGATGCGGCCCTCGCTTCGCATCCTTGCGACGACTTCGAACGTGGCGACGTCGAATCACTAAGAGAAGTGGAATAAATCGTGGAAGCACTATGTGAATCGTAAAAATCGATCGATTTTCTCAATTGTCGATCCTTTTAATTAATTAGTCAATTAGATTGCACAGCACCGCGCTTCGGCAGCAGTGTCGCGGTTTTATTTATCGCGGTTTTGCTTTGAGCGTTTTTCGGGTGTTGCTTGCAGCACCCGCGTCGTCGTGATGATGCGCTCACGCTTTTCCCCGTTACATTGTTAATTACTCGCGATCCCTCCTCTTCTGTCCAACGTGTGCGTTATCGCACCGCACTCACGTCGCGCTGCACCCGCAGTTTCGTCGTGCCGTTTCGCACGCGCTTGCGACTCTTCGCAGCCGCGCAGCGCCCTGTCTCGCGCGTGCGAAAAAAAGCCCTCGTCTTCACGGCGACTTTAATCCTCTCTCAGAACGCGATGCGAAGGGAGGCGAAGGAGGAGGACAATGAGGGTTGCGACGAATCCGTGGTCCAATCCTCTCGCGCTACCTCGGTCTGCTGCTGTTACTGCTGCTGCTGCTGCTGCTGCTGCTGCTGGCGTGCCACCCGGCCACGACGACCGGGACACGTACATACCCGGCGATGAATCGCGGCCAACTGAGAGAGGGAGAGAACACACAGCCCCCTAGACACTACCCCGTCGGTTGGCTGTGGCATCGCGCACGAAAACCCCCTGCGCGCAACCCCCGTCGCCGCGCACGGGATCCGCATGTTTTGTACGTACTGGGACAGGGAGGGGGCGATGAGGGAGGGGGAGAAGAGGTGAAACGCGGAGAGACAGGCGATGTCGAGGGTGCGCAGAGAGAGAGAGAGGAGGGGAGGGGGGGTGTGGAGGGGGAGTTAGACTACGTCGGGCTACAAGTGACCGCGAGTGGAGTTACTGGGTTAGGTCTGGGTTAGTTTAGATGGATCGGGATCCTTAGAATGGGGGTATAGAAAGGGGTAAGGTCGAGGGGTGCCGGTATTGCCAGGCTGTGAAGGGCGCTTGAGGGGGAGGGAGGCATTTGTCGGCTTGTCCGGAAAGTTCCGGCCGTATTTTTCAATCGACGTAATGCGCCGCTTTTTAAGTGGTCGAACTATTTGTTCGTTCCGCTCCTCGTCTTCTCCGGGTGAATTCCAATCGCTCGGCAATGGTTTTCAGAAGTTGACTTAAGTTTACACGGCGTTATAAAATAAAGACTCGATGCATCGGGGATTGCAGAAATTAAACTTATTGAACGAAATTGCTTTTTCAAGGAATGCTCATTTCCTCCAGAAAACTTCAACCGAAATATTCCTTTACTGTCAATTTTTTCATTTTTTTACTTTAACTTCTTCACATTTAATTTAACACGCTGAATAGAAATATTTTTGTCAGCTGAGATTTTTTAATTTATATTTAATTTAGCATGTTTGCAATTTTTTTATTTGGATGTAAGTGCGATTAGAAGCGCAATTACTTCACGTTTGTTGCGAGTTATTACATGAACAATGTTGCATAAAAAATAAAAACATTGAAACGAAGAGACCAGAGAGAGATAGAAAGAGAGAGAGAGAGAGATTTAATCGCACTAGCGTGTACAACAGCTTAATCCGGATCGATTTAGAGAGATTATGAACGAACGAATCACTTTGCAGCGATGCGACGCGCCAGTGTCCACCCGGTATAAATACTGGTTAATTAATTCGAGCGGCATGGTACGAGGAGATACGTATCGATGCGACATTTCGTATTTTTGCTGGACGTTTTCCGACGGCCGTAATGGCACGCAGAAGGACACACAGAAGCGGGAACGCGATTCCATCCTTGAATCACCGTCGTTAAGCGGACACGCGAGGCCGCGGCGCAATATTATCGTAAACGTAACAACTTCATACCGATTCCAATTAATGTCGTGATAAAATTACGCCTACGTGCACGGGAAAGATGACGCGGACACACCCAGCGGAAAAGCTCTTCGACGGAACGGCGAGTTGAATGGAGGATAAATTGCTCGACAATAAAGTCTCGTATCTCTCTCGCCGCGGCGTCCCGGCGAGGGTCCGAGTTTCAGAATCGGGGTGGATCGAAATACCGCTGGGGGTCCAAAACACAATGGCGTCTCGTGATGCTCGAAGTTGTTTACGTCACAAACTCCAGGGGCGGCGCGGGGGACGGCGGACGGTCGGAATCAAACGAGAGGGTGGGCTATACACGGGCCGCTGGCGGCTATTTCTTTTTTATTGACCCGACCCGACCGCATGATTCCCCGCGCCGAAGGAATCCCGTAAAGCCGAGACTAATCGGGAATCTCATCGTCGCAGCCGTTCAACTTGGCCGAACATCGATATCAATTTGTCATGACGTTCTATGGGCCGTTTCGCACGCGTCATTGCGTCGTCGTGCGCCGAGAAAGAGAGTTGTAACACATTTCCCGCCAACAGTGTCACGCTTCGATTCCGAGAGCTTTCAGATCGAATGTAGACGTGAGATGTGGTTTGACTAGAAACTTCTTAGATATTAATATCTTGATATATCGCAACGAACAAGCCTGGCATAAATCTTCGATTGTTAGTCAATTAATGTTAAGCGCGAATGTCGACTCGCGGCACACATGATTTTTTTTTGTCTGTTTCTCTCAGTTGAAAATATAAGATATCGGCTTTATAAACTTTCACTGGCCGGTGAATCGTTCGTCGCTTGGTCGCTGGTAGCAGCTGAAACTTTTAATAAAGCGATCACAAATCTCCCTCTCTGCCCTCCCGGATGACAGAACGAAAGAGAGAGGAAGAGAGAGAGAGAGAAAGAGAGAGAGAGAAGAAAGTCGACCCTCTCGACCCATCGTTCTCCTCGCCCATCTGCTATTATACCGCATCGAGTTATTCCCTCGAGCTTCTTCAAATATCGGCCAGCCATTAATTGCACTCTAACTTAAACATATTAATCGAACGAGATGAAAACACCTGTTGTAATATCACAGCATCATACTTATATAAAAAGTTCAATGTTTTATATATGTACAAGTATATATTATATATCATGATCTACTTCAGATAAAATGTTATTAATATAAACGTTTGGCAACGAAATATTATTAATTTAAAAAAATGTGATTTCTTTGTCTTCAAATTTTTTTTGAAAGTTATCTGAACTTAAAGATGGATTTGCTGATAAGTTTTTCTTCTATTTAATCAGTGTCTACATTTCAGTGTCATAAACTAACTATTTCTTCGTAATTCGCATATCTAAAAAGCGTGCCGGAAATAAAATGCTATTATTGATTGACGCGTTCTAAAATATTCCCGGCGCACGAACACCGGATGCTGAATAATTGCGAAATTCATCTCCTCTTCTAGCCGCAGATTTCCCGCTTTTGTTTTAATTATAAGTCAGCCCGGAGGCATTATACAGCATATAACCCGTCCGACATATATTTTGCGGCCCGTCCGAAATTGCGTTTGATTTATCGCGCGAATAATGCGGCGCTTTATATAGTAATGCTTCATCAATAACGTTTCTCTCCCTCCTGCGAGTGGACCGATTCCGGCGCACTCGGTGCTCACAGCTTGAAATTGGATCAGCAGCCCGGCAGATACCAAGCGACAAAGCAGGTGCAACGTGAAGCACGATCGCTCAATGAGAGTAATTAATGGTCGCTACGCGGATGCGCATCGTAATGGTGAAACGTGTCAACGTGGAAAGATGGAGAATGAAATGCGATATGACGGTAGAATTCTAAAAAAAATATACAAGCAGCCGACATTTGTCGGCTCCACGCATTGAAAAAATGTCGATCATCGATATAAACTTGACGAAGGAGAGCATGACGATCGGTCGGTTGCGATCCGTGCAATTAATAAATCTGTCTCATGTTATTAATAGTCCATATCTTATCTTTTGCTGCAAATAAAATGTTTGCATAAAAGCACACGCTTGGATTCCATATGGATGTACAGTGATTTAGAATATTTGCATCTCTGTTGTTTGTCAAAATGCAATAGAACTGCACAATGCAAAAATTTCGAATTCTTGCTTCGCATCGGACAAATTAGCGAAATGCTGCATTTCATTGATCACTTAATCAATGTTATAGCTATAATCGGATAATAAAGGAATTATCTGCTCGGCACCGTGATAATTGACACGCATCGCATTGCTAGGAGAATCGAAATAATGCATTCGATAATGCTCGATCATATTATGTCCGTACGATGAATTCGCATGCAACACACGGCAAATAATTCGAGCTTTTAACGATTGGAAATTTTAAATATCTCGTACATTGAGAAATTTATTTGTCGTTTGATACATATATACTGAGTGATACATTTCAAACGTAATTATAAATTATACTACGTTTAAATAAACAAATCTGCTAAAAGTACGTTTTAAATATATACATGATGTCCGAAAATTACATATAATTCGATAAAACTTATTTGGTTTACAACTTTTTAATAAACAATGAGTGACTATAATCTTGTGTTTATTATTTTATACTCAGGATTTAACAACATGTATGAAAATCGAGCCTGACTTTTCCTAAACATTTACCATAAATTCTTTAGCTAATTTCGAAATTATTTTTATTAAAGATCACAACTTGTTAATTTTTAACATTGTGCAATATATTTTTATAACTAAGTTTTTAATTAAGGTATCATTAAGTAAATTTGAAATTATTTAAAGAAGTATAATTTTGTTTCTCATTTTCTCTTGAAGCCTAATTTACAAGAAGTTCTATTTTCAATCGAAAAACTTCGATTTCTCGCTCGAAAAGAAATCAATTTCAGATCGATTTAAGAATCCATACAGTAAAGAAGACATCCTGAACAATTGTGCGGCGTCTTTTCTTTATTTTTGCAAACGCAGACGGCGGCAGGTTCACGTTTGTGGCTCCTGCGGCAGCGGTGCATCCGCGTAACGGCGCTGCATACGTGCGATGCAGACGATGCGGTATGCGGCATGTGGCGCGTCACAGAACCGTACGATCGTTGGTGCAAATTGCAGCGAAGGGGTGCAGGGGGAGGTGAGGTGAATTCGAGCACGGAGTAAGAGAGGATAATCCAGCGGTTCGTTCGTTAATCTGGGATTGTTCGAGCACGAATGAGATATGTGCTCCCGCTATTTTGCAGAAGCCAACGTGTATCGAAACGCGTAAAGCTGCTTAGGCCATCATACAATATATTGTCCTCGTCGATCGAATTGTTTACATTACAGGATATAATGTCTAATGGACGGTATTCTCGATATTTCAAGCTCTCAGTAACGATTTCATAAAAATGCATCAAAAACAGCAGCATTATTGTCAGTTATAATTATCTTTTATATTTCTTTCCTTAATAATGTAAGATAATATGAGATCTCTTTGGAATAATTCTCCTGGCTTGTCATATTTAAATTTTATAGGCATGCGGAAATGATTTTTGAGCACCCGAAGACATTAGATCGAATGTTACCGGAGCGATAAATACATTGACAGGCAACCCGAAATTAAAGCGCATAAAACTGTCCGCGGTCGCTCGCTTCGCGATGAAAAATCGTATCATTTGGATGTGCGCGTTAAAAGCGCGTTATAATTTAGTGGATAAATTATTCATACATGTTAAGGCTACACGCGTACCCTACTATTATGTGGACGCACGAGCGGAGATGTGCGGTAGCGGACGAATTATGAATATTCAGAAGAGTTCGCACATCATAAATTTAAACTTGTCGCGTGTTTCTGCACGCACAATAGTGTACCGCTTCAAACTAACAAGGCTTTTTTTTGCCAATTTCGCAGGAAATAAATTACTTCATTTGCACTTTGCGATAAATCGCGGAATTAATAATTAACTCGAACATCACTGTCGCATGTTAAGTACAATCGTCATTTGCGCAATACGGAGTTCTCGACGGAACCCCCGTCGATCTCGCGCGACAATCTCGATAGTTCTCGGATAGTCGTGCTCGGATTCGCGATGCAAGTTGACGGCGCGATGCAACCGCCGGGCGGTGCAACTTCGACGACGACCACGGCGACGGGGGTTGAAGTTTAAGTTGCGTCCGACTTTGCCGCGCGCACGATCGCAATATGTGCACGTGCATATGGGCTCTCGACCGAGATAGCGCATACGCCATCAAAGAGGTCCGACACTCTAAGCGCGCGACTTGCCTTTCCACGACAATTTTCGCTCGTCGCTGCATGAAAGGCGAATTAGAAGGGGCGCTAGTTTGTGCGTGAGACCGTGTAAACGCTTTGCCGGATCAACCGCATCTGCATAGTTGCGCAAAACGAAATCTAATGCACTTTTGGCCCATCGTGTCCTGGTCATAGCGCGATGAAAACAAAAGAAGGTTTTTAGTTGAAGAAGAGTTTTAAATAAAGGTAGATCCGAGAGCCTCTACGAATATAATAATAATAAAAGCTTGCTTTGATCGATGCTGCGATAGATATGAAATATAGTTTTTGATATTCATTATTTTTTAGGACTAAAATCTTTCTCTTTATTACTTGACAATTTTGTCGCTTGAAAACACGGCAGAACTGCACTTTAATGCGATGTTTTTGTGATTTTCTTTGCAGGTCCTCAAAGAACCGTACATGTGCTGCACAATTCGGAGCAACCAGCCTCGGTGTTCGCCATCCTCGAGTCGGGCAGCAAAGTGGTGCCATTGATAGCAGACGGTCTTTTCGATTTATTGATGTTAAAAATGACGAACATTTACACGAGTAAAAAGCAAACGAGAATCGAGTCGAAGGGACCGCGGTTCGAGATCGGTGACTTCTGCGTGAAATTGGGTAGCGTGACGATAGGCCAGAATTTCAAAGGCGTCCTTGTGGAGGTGAGTGACACCCTATATTTCTCTCTCGAAAGAAAAGCGATTCCTCGAAAGCGACGAAAAATCATCGGTTTGCCCGGCTTTCGCCCACAGCTTTTTTATTTGAATTTTTAACTCTTTGAAGTGACATTTTTCATTTCTGTTCATCGTAACGCGACAAACCATCATTTCCATAAAAACTTGAATTAATTTTTTTTTTCATGAATTTACATTTAAAATCTATTAACGTGTAGGAATATCATTTTTCGCGTTCGACCAATATTTCACGTTTACTTTTCAGTCGTCGTGAAAGATTATTTTTCAGCATTTGACAATTTGGGAAACCAAGCAAATCAACGCCAGTCCCGAATTTCCAAATCCTGCAACTGTAATTCTTGCGGTTAGGAAGTATAGTCCGTGCGCTACTTCCGGTGCCCCTTGCCAATCACGCCGACGAATGCGCATTATCGATTGATAGCTCGGTCACGAGGCTCCACGGTACACACGCAAATCGCATATGGTTATAGATATGCTTAGGGGCGGAACGTGGACGCCACGCACCCCTTCGTATCGCGCCGCATGCGGCGAATACGTGTCTCGCGTGTCAAATCCGGCACGCCCGAGATATTTCATGCCCGGTATACCATCACCACTGATCAAGAGTACACGCGAATAATCGCGTAATTAAGTCCGAACGCCAACGATAAATCCCGCCGTCGCTTCATCACTGTCGTATAATTTCCAACAATTTCTCAGTACTTCGCGCTTATCTTCGCTATCTTAATTATTCTATTTTGATATCAATTTTGGATCTCATCTATTCTCAATTTCCTCCTTGCTGGCTAATCGGCTTGTAAGAAAGTAATCGGATTCAAATTTTATTCTTACACGTTTAAAATATAAGCTTGGGGAAACAAATGAATACAAATGCGGATGTAATTATGAATGCACGCCAAGATTTCGTACATGCATTTGTACGCACAATTACGTGAATATTGAAATGCCGCACTCATGATGCACTGTCGCGCACCTGTAAACATACAAAGTACACACTACGCACCGCGAAAGGACATTATATAATAATTTGTCGTTTACCGATGCTTCGTGGCTTATTGCACACTTAAGCATACTTGCGAGAACCGCAGTGTTCTAAAAGTACAATATAACTTATTCAATTAACTTCCAATATGTTTGAACAAATTCTGTTTATCCGAATAACTTTATTTTCTCATCACATGTCATCGTTTATAATTGTACAAATTGTGTTATCATTGAAACAATTGTTTGTTTTTGTTAATCGCGATTGGCAACAAACAATATTCAGACGTCGTCTTTATATCAAAATTCGAAGAATCGCGGAAGACCTCAAGCTGTTTCCCCCTTTTTCTTCTCCACCTCGACGCTCCCGTTCCGCGCGGTTATTTCTCAACGATGCGGCTTCCGGTATATCTTCCGGCAGCCTCCAACAGATTCATCCAGTCGCGCACCACGTACACACACCCCCGCGTGTACACACATACTCGACACCGGCTTTAAATGCTCCGGCGGCCATTCGTATTGGTAACTGCGCCGTTTGTACAGCAGCCACGACGTCAAATACTTCACGATAACCCCCGACTCTGCCATTAATTTCAATGGAGAATGCCCCGCGCGTTAAATCTCGCACCCACCTCGTCGGCCCCTCCCCCTCGGAACACTTTTCCGTACGGCTTCCCGCCGTGAGCGCTTCCTTCCTTCCGCTCTCTTATTCGCCGCCGCGACTCTTGCACTTAACTGCAATCACTTATCAGCGCGTGTCGAACATATGATGCAACCGTTGCGGTTGGGCACCGATGACCCAGTTTGAAAGGGCGGAAATTTCCAATCTTGAACTGAACGTATAATATTGACTTGCAAAAAGACATGTTTATCATTTTTCTAACACATTTATAATTAATAATATCCAAATTTATCATTTATAATTATTCGAATTGTTTTTACGATTATTTCTTCTGATGAATGTATTTCCAAGGAAATTACAATTGATATGTGGCCAATCTCATTTTTCCATTATAAATATTCTATAAAAACAATAACGTAACATGAATGTTACAATTTCCTGCTCAACGTTATTGCAATACGAGTATAACATGTCTTGTACGTAAGAATTATATTATTGCGTAGGAAATTATAACATTGATGTTATGTTATTGTTGATTAGTATTTACTGGGTTAACAGCATTATTTCTTTTATAAACTGTAAAAAATAAAAACTACGCGAAAAAGTTCTCGTTTATCTGAAGATTTGTAGGATTGGATCTTAAAATGTAAAATTATTCAGCAAATTTTTTTGTAACAGTCGAGGAATACTTAGCTATCAGCTCATTCTCTCTCTCTCTTTCCCATTCCTTTTCCTTCTCTTTCTTTCTCTCCGTGAATCTTTCACTTCTATTTTTCTAGTTTCATTCCGCTTATCGAATTACTCGGCCAAAGTACCAATCTTGCAGCAGAGCAATATTAACTTTTAGACGAACTTTCTCAACATAGACGGCTGTAAGACTGATGATATAATATAATTTATATATTATATATCTCTCGGTGAGTTATATGTATATATATATATATATATATAGAGAGAGAGAGAGAGAGAGAGAGAGAGAGAAGAGGAGGAGAAAGGAAAGAAGGAAGAGAGGGAAAGAATTGAAAACACGATAGAGAGAGACTGACGTCTAGATATCTCGACATCGCTATCATCGTATATATCTTCCATCCGATTCTGACACATCCAGACATGATCTCTCGTCGGATTTTCCAAATGGCCGATAGTAACCATTGACGTGCGAAAACGAATTTTTGACATTTTCAGAAATTGACGTTTTCATCCTCGAAAACTCTTCATCGTGACGCGCGTTATTTATTCAGAGACGACGAGCTTCTCGTGCACTGCTTACTTATACCAATATACTTATGCGATAGTTTCATCCGGATTAAAGCGGATTATTATAAGCGCGTCATTTTCCAGCCTGCGCGAGTTGTCTGTCGAAGTTTGTTGCGCGAGTTCCCGATTATATATCCGCTTGTTTCCTCCCACGCCCGCTCCGACACCATCAAAACACACCGTAAGCCGGATTATGCGAGAAATGTATAAGGTCCTTGTCGCGGGATATTCGATCTTCGGATCGTGAAGCTTCGTCTGTCTGCTGCCTGCCGGGCCGCGCAATACCCGCCGCCGTTCTCTCCGACAAATATTACCGAATCTCACGTGCTCTATTTCGCGTATATTACGATTTACGCAACGCATCCGATAATCCTGTGATATTTTATTTGCACATCTCAAGGTCGAGTATAGACCATGTCTCGTGCCGGCGAATTCCTGGGATCTCATGCGTGAATTTCTACAAGGATTCCTTGGCTCGGCCGTATCGAATCAGGCACCCCAATATCTCCAGGTACATTTATTTATCATTAACAATTATATTATAAAATGCATAATTATACGATAGTATATTTTTTTGCAATTACCATTTTCCAATTGTAGGAAATCCTCAATATTTATTATATCATAGCCTACGCACGCACGCATGTTAAGTTTATTTCGATAAAAAATGAAGAATTAAATTATTCAAATTTACATTTATTTTGCAGAACCGGATGAACGAAATATATCAGCCGATGGACACAATACACCAATATCTGGAACACTTCGGTCAGTACAGGAAAGCCACGGGAGTGATTTAAGGAGAACCATCGCGATGACGTCAAACTGTATTATTTATTTTATTACGACTTTAATGGCACGATTCGATTTTGTTCCTATAAAACCACCAATGTTTAATATTTTTTATTATAATCGATCTGTAACAAAATTGCCACTTTCTATTTATTATTTGTTTTTCGTATACATACTTCAATATCGAAGAGATTCATATACGATAAATCTTATCCAAAAATGTTTGAATCTGTAATATCAGAATAATATGTCGTCATAGTTTCAAAGGTTCTTAACATTTTTCCGCAATTCTTATTAGATTTGTAGTTTTTATGTATATTGTCACAACCCAGACAGCATGATGATCTCATATAATACTCCTAAAGAGTTCCAAAAATTTTTCTGAGTTGATAAATTTAGATCAGAAGGTGATTAGAACGTGCTCATAATGTATTCGGATGCGTCGACTTCTGAGCTCATTTTGATTTCATCATAAAGAGTTTTTTATGCATATAACCTAGTAATCGAGAAATTATTGAAAGTTCAGAAATAGGATTGAAAATATTAGATATATATATGTCTAGTAATTTTAATTTTTAATTTACTTTACTTACTAATTAAACTTTTTTAACTTTAAACTTTAACCTTTAACTTTTTACCTTTACGTTTAACTTTTTAAACTTTTAAATTTTTAACTTTACCGTTTTACCTTTACGGGTAAACCGGTTAAAAACGTTAAAACTTTAAAACCCTTTAAACCCTTAAAAAAACTTTAAAAACCCTTAAAACTTAAAGTTTAAGGTTAAAAAAGTTTAAAGTTAACGGTTACCGTAACGTAAGTAAGTACGGTTTACGTTAACCGTAACGGTAAACCGTAAACTTTAACTAACTAACACTATCGTTAGTTTTATTTAGTTCGTACTACGTACGTACGTAGTACGACGGTACGTTAACGGTAAAGTTAACGGTTTAGTTAAAGTTAAAGTTAAAGTTAAAGTTAACAAAGGTAAAAGTTAAGGTTAAATTAAAGTTAAAAATTTAAGTTAAGGTAAAGTTAAAGTTTAATTTAATTTAACTATGTATGTTATATTTATTATCTACAATATTTTCAATCCTATTTCTGAACTTTTAATAATTTCTCGTTTACTGGGAACAAATATACCTCAAAAAATTACATGTGAAAAATTGCGTCAGAGATCGTTGTACCAGGAACAATTTCACACACTGCGTGTTTTTTATGCACTGCGAACTGCGAGACTTGGAAAATACTTTGTGGGTAAATATAAATAACAAAGAGAATAATCGACGAACAATATATGGATGACCAAACAAGAATCCAGTCGAGTCAGGTTGGGTGATGCGTATTTTTTATTTTCACGCATCATATTATATCAAAATGAGCTGATTATGAAGAACTATTTTGTGTTAGAAATATAAGTTCATAGTAAGCTCTTTTTGATTTACTGTTAAAGAACTCAGAAAAGAGCACTTTTAGACAATTTTTTGTAATCATTTTAGCAGATCATAAAGAATTCAAAAAAGAGAATACTTTTTGAACTCTTTCTGGAGATTCTGCTGTCTGGGAACTTACGGATAAGAACGTGCGTAATATAGCTGAATGCGCCACCTGCAAAAAATATGGGAGAATTAGATAGCATTAATCTGATCGATAATAAGCCGTTATTGTAGGTACCGTGATTATTTATTATTGATAACGTCCACTGCGTGAGAAACTGCATTTACAATAGAATATGTTTTTTATCAAAACACATAAACCACGGGGGTGTGACACTGCCTATGCTTCGCCGCTATGCTTTTACGTGTCCCCTTGAATGTCTGTTCGCCCAGAAAATCCAGCAAAAGGCGCTAATTCTAATCCGCATCCGTCGATTGCGTTCACGCGACTATTTAATTTCTAACTTATATATAATAATGTATTGTGTTCAAAATATTTTTATTTTTCTTCGGAAATACAAATGAACGATGCGGATCGATTTATGCGCCACCAAGTGGATTAATGTTTTTAATGAGACAAAACCTGACCGCAAAAAACTCGGGAGTGTCACCCCCGCGATCAAAACACTTAAACGCAGTACAATATTCTTATTAATCGAGTAAAAGTAATTAGATATTCCACCACATGCATTTTTCAAAATTGTGTTGTAATTAATACAACGCAACTCAAAACTCATTTTACTCGATTTTTAACAATAAAATGTTACTATAATTACCGTAATTTTAAATGTAGGTATAATCTAAAAATTACTTAAGATTATTGATTGCAATTTGACTTGAATATCTATCTATACAGTGCAATTGTAATATGTTTCACGTTTTTAGCAAATTTGTGACTAAATGTGGGATTAATATTCAAGGAAGTCCAAAGTTTCGTCTTTTGTGTAAATCATGCAAATAAATTATGTAAATTTATAGAATGACTTTTAGTTTGGATGAATTAAATGATTTTTGCTACATATTTTATAACATAGTGAGACTTAATTGAGCCAATTGAGAGTTTAAAAAATGTATTGTAATGTATTGTGATGTATTGTAAATAAACACTAAAGAAATAAATTATACAATTTTTATTTACAAAATTTATAAAATTGAAATTCTTCGTTTTAAACATTACAAATCATGTTTGCATATTATATTGTATCAAAAGAAATTATTTAAATAATTAAATAAATGATGTTAAGCGTTTAACGAACAAAAGGACTTGCATTGGCAGATTATAGGTGTTGCGTAAAAACAGCTGCGTCATTCTACAAAAATAAATCTATGCAAATCGAATTAACGCACATATTGATAGTCGAGGCAATTCATTTGCATGTGGAGACTTTGAAGTTTCATGCGATAATTACGGTTATCGTATACGCGTTGTATAATAAATGCTTGTCAAAATATATTGCTTTTTTATCTTAACTTTGCGGATTATCAGCGCGACTTTTCAATCCGTTATCAAATTTTGCAAATTCACCAAGAAGCGAATGGAATGCTCTTGCTCAACGAAAAGTACAACATCGTGGGTCACGTGATTACGCAAATGTGGCGCCGCGCAACGTCAGCCGCATGAATTTCCATCGAATACCGAAATCGAGAGAGATGACAGTGGCAAAAGTGTGATCAAAGGGTGATTGTGGTGTGTAACGATAATAGTGTGTTTTACGGGAAAGAGCTGTGTACATCGCAAAAATGGAGGTAAAATTTCGCGCGATATTATTGTGTTTAATATGCGTAAAAGATCTGTACATTTGGTAATGCAAGAATCTGTATATTTATCTGTTTTTTTTTTCTTTTTTCTTAGATCGAAATCCTGTCAGCAAAGTCTTCAAAGCCGATGGCCAATATTAATGTGAGTGTTAAATAAATAACTATTCATAGCGATTAATTAATTCTGACAACTATACAACTGGAACATTCTGAAATGTTGGAATTTGACAGATTCTTTCTTGATTTTCTTCTAAAGAATCTGTAAAACTTAGCAAAAAGAATTTTATTATATATAATTTGTATTTTCTTACAGGTAAATCTGATCACTACGATAGGAGAGATCAAACAGCAATTGCATAATTTAAAGAAAGCTCCATATGTCCAAAGACAGAGTCTGAGATTGGAAGCTAGGGGCAAAGCACTTTCTGATTCGGAAACAATTAAATCTTTGTCACTGAAAACAGGTGGAAAATTGTATTATAAGGATCTCGGTCCTCAGATCGGTTGGAAGACTGTATTTCTGCTGGAATATGCAGGACCGTTGGTGGTATATCTTTGGTTATATCAACGTCCATGGTTATTTTATGGAAATGTTGACACCACTAATTTTCATTACGTAGCAAAGTAAGTTTTTGTCTTTTAATTAATTTCACAACTGATTGTAAAAATTACCCGATTACAGAGATTACTTATATAAACATTATGCGATATATTAAATATCTTTTTTGCAACAAATAATTCTTTTTTTCAGTTGGGCAGCAGTTGGTTGGACAGTGCATTATGCAAAACGTCTGTTGGAGACCTTATTTATTCACCGTTTTAGTCATGCAACGATGCCACTGCGTAATTTATTCAAAAACTGCTCATATTATTGGCTCTTTGCTATGTATGTGGCATATCACACAAATCATCCATTATATACGGCTCCAAGCTCTCTCCAGGTCTACATTGGAGCAGGAACATTTGTGCTATGCGAACTGGGCAATCTCAGCATTCACTTGGCTCTGAGGAATCTAAGGCCACCAGGCACAACAGTCAGGAAGGTCCCCATGCCGACCGACAATCCTTTCACGGCGCTCTTTAAATTTGTCTCCTGTCCCAATTATACATATGAAATAGGTAGCTGGATTGGTTTCACTGTAATGACTTCATGTCTTCCAGGTATGCCTATGTAGAAAAAAAATTACTTATGCAAATTTTTGATCTTTGACACTGAATGCAAATGAAACCATGCTAATGAATTCTGTATGTTCATTTTTAGCTGGTTTATTCGCGCTCGCCGGTGCGTATCAAATGACTGTATGGGCATTGGGAAAGCATAGAGCATACAAGAAGGAGTTCTCGCATTATCCGAAGAATCGTAAAGCCATCATTCCATTTATTCTTTAAGTCGATGCATTTATATGAACTTGTTCACTTGAACAACGTAGGTATTCTTAACATAATATTATTTAAGATTAAAAGTTGGATAATATAATTGGTCGTGAATATATAAATAACAATCATTTTAATTTCATAATGATATATTCGTACAAGTACAAAAGAAAATATAGTTTAAATAAGTTCAATTTTTAATTTTTTATATATCTTAGGGTGAGGTTATTTATCTATAATGAAATAATGTGATGCTCTTTTTTTTTGATAAGTATAAATGTTTACATATATAAGAAAATATAATGGGAACGTATTTAAAACTAATTGCGTATAAATGTTGAAACAGTACCTTGCCATTAAAGCTATTTTGACGATGCTCAACTCGCATACCTGAGAAAACGATCTCGCAAATTCATTTAGGACGGTTTCTTCTCTTTTTCTGTCTCTTCACTTGGAATTTTGCTTAAGAGTCGTTTAACATCTTCCTTTAATGCTAAAATAACCTGCTGATATCCCTGTATTTGCGTTGTATATTTTTCCCGCAATTCTTCGTATCCCTGATAAGCTTGCTCCAACTTTTTTCTTGCATCTGCAGGTTGTGTGCTTTCTTGTTTTAAATCCAGAAGACTCTCCATGTGTAAAATATGCTTTCGCGCTTCTTTTAGCTGCCCTCTCAGAGCGTTTACCTCCACAATGAGCGTACTATTGTCCTCCGTCATCCTTTTCGAACCTTTATCACCGGGAGACGTATCTTGCAGTACTTGCTTCTTCAGGGACTCAATGGTCTTTTCCAGATAATCTTTCTGCCGCATCAGTTCGCATTGCGCATCTAAATCCGCTTTACGACTACGTAAAAGTTCATCGTCCGCGCTGTATTTATGATATAATTCTTTCACCGCAGTCTTCAGCGCATTTGGCTCTTGTATGAGTCCGGCGACGTCGAAGATGTCGATGCGAATCTTTCGCAAAAGCTGTCGGCTCCTTCTGTTTTTCTGCACCTCGCAATTGATCTGTTGGCGCGCGGCGCGCAGCTTCTCCCGCATCTCTTGCAGTTGAAGCTCCAAACTCTCGTTAATCTTGCGATGACTCGTGAACTCCACTTGCATACTCCAGACTTTTTTCTTCAAGTCTTGTATCTCCTGATCTCTCGGCTCTATCTGACTCTTCAATTCCTCAATCTTGTAATTCAATACGAACTTGAACTTCTCCAATTCTTGAATTGTCCGCTTCATGCCGGATATCTGCTGCTCCTTGTCCACAATAGTGGCGTCCCTCTCGCCGATCTCCTTCCGCAAATCTGCTATCTGCTTCTCTAGATCTTGTATATTTTTGCGGAACTGCGTGTATTCACCCTGCACTCGCTGCACCTGTCTCTTCAGATCCTCCACGTCCTTTTGACTGGCCATGAACTTATTTCGCATCACACTGGCTTCGCCTTTCAGCTTCAAATTGATTTGCCTTTCCCCGTAAAGCAGATTCTCATACTTGGTGCGCACCTCGAGAATTTCCTGATCCGCGTCCTCCTCTATCTGCGCCATCAGATGCTCGTGAACGCGTTCTTTGTGCGCCATCTCGTCGGACGTTTCTTCCAGCTGCACCTTCCTCTCGTGAAGCAGAGCTTCGTACTTCGCCACAGTTTTCTCGAATTCCTCCGCATCACGTTTCGCAAGATCTTTCAATCGCTTCTCGTAATCGGCGCGCATGACATTCGTGCGTTCCTCGAACGCCTGATACTTGTCGAATTCCGTAATTAACTTGGCTTCATAATTATTTTCCATCTGTTGCATCGCGCTCTCGTGAGCCATCTTCATCTTCACAATCTCCACATTTATGTTATTGATTTCATTTATATGGTCCTCTTGAAGCTTCTCGTTTTTGTCCCGAAGTTCCGTGATGGCCTCGCAATAGCCTTGGTGTACCTCGCGTAGCTTATCGTTGTGCTGAACGTCGATCTGCCGCAGTTTATACGCGTGCTCGGTTTCCAATTCCTTCATTCGCACCGTTAGATTTCTGATCGTCTGTATCTTGTCCTCCAAATCTCCCTTGCCGATTAAAACTTCGTTCGTGTACGGCAAATCTCTAATCTTCATAACTTTCCCTTCGGCATAGTATATCTTCCAAATGCACAAACTGCCGTCCTTCGCAGCCGAGACTAAACAATTTTCGTTGTAGGAGAGCGCGATCTGCAATAAAGAAGGAAATGAGAGAATAGTTGAAAAAAACTGTTCTCTTGAAAAACGAATGTCTTAATTAATACATTGATACCATTGTGATATCGACGCTGTGTATATGAAACTCTGTCGATTCTATCGTAGCTTGAAGCGGGCACTTTAACGAGACGATGATACCACCAGGGGACGTTACGAACAATGATAGGTCATCTTTTCCCATAATCATCCGATGCATTTCTTTACCAGGTAAATGGAAATCTCGAATCACCTAATAGAAGACGAGCAAAGAAGGCCAATTTCGAAATCAATCGTACAATCTCAAATGACAAAAGTGAACCGCAAGTAGAATAACATAGCGAAGTGTACCATGCTCTCTTTAATTTCACGTATGTGCTCGTCATTCGCGATGCAGTAGGTCACTGTCGTGTCCGAAGAAAGCACAACGTCGTGCAGCGTGACGTACTTCAGGATGATCTCGCCGAATCGTGCACCGGTGGTCATGTCCCACTCGTAGATGGCACCTTCCGCGCCCATGCTGAGCAATTTCAGATCCGACTGCGACCAGAGGAGGGTCTGCACCTTGCCCGTGTGCCCCTTGAGAACGAAGGTGTTGTAGAAGCCGATGGTCGTGTACACTTGCACGACGTTGCCGTTGACCGCTGCGAACAGATGACCGCCGGAGCTGAAGCAAACCGTCCTGCAGCTCCTGATGGCGATCTCGTGCATCGGCAGCAGATCGTCGATCAAGATGCTCATGAAGCGCAGCTTGTCGGTGAAGCCGATCAGGCAAAACAGTCCCATCGGGTGCAACGCGATGCCGGATATGTCTTCGGCGTACTGCTTCAGCATGATCAAGTTCTCGGTCTCGAAGTCCCACAACCGGACGCTGCGATCGAACTCGCCGCACGTCATGAAGACCGGCTTCCACGCGCACATGGCGAGACCGTTGATGGGGCCGTGGTGCAGCGGCTGGCCCAGAACTTTCAGCTCCTGCGGTTTCGGATCCACCTGCAGATCCACGCCCCACAGCGTGGCGTAATACAGCTGAGACCAGCCGGCGGTGACGATCAGCCGGTCACAGCTGACATTCACGTCGATCGTGTTGATCTTGTAAAGGTCTGGATCCTCCTCCCTCGCCACTCGCTCCGGAATCACGTAGATGTTCCTCTTCGTGTACTTGTGCTTCCCTTCCTTCTCGAAGAGCACGACAGTCCCCGGGCCGTGGGCGTAGGCGAATCCGCGCGGAAATGCGATCAAACAGCGTATATTCTGCTGCCAATCAACAGCCTCGTCATGACCGTCCTGCGGAGCGGCGACGGCGGTCGGGGCGGGCATGACGTACTCCTCGCGGATCTTCAGATTCATCGACACCGTGTATCCCATCCCGTATATGTTCTTCAAGTCGCCGTTCTCCAGATATAGCACGCGGTTGTCCTTGGTGCCGACCAGAAGCCGATCACCGTCCAGCCAGGTCATCGAGCAGACGAGGAGGTTCTCCGCCTTGGCGAATCCGTACGGACGCCACACCGTCTCGGAGACGGTGAGAAACTTGAAGGTGTACATACCACCGACCGCCAACACCGACGCATCCGTCGGATTGCAGGACAACAGCTCTGCGATCGCCGATGGATTTTGCGGATTTGCCAGCTTGAACGTCGACTCAACTTTACCCTTTTCCCAGTTGTAAAAAAGCATCGTTTGATCAGGTTCGCCGGTAATCGCCACTAAGCTTTTACTGTCGAAGGTGAAATCCAAGCATGTAAATCTGGTTACTCCCGGAGCGTCAAAAGGTATCCCGAGCAGTTTCCTGCGCTTTAGAGAGCTGAGGTCATAAACAGATATAGTAGGTTTGTCTCCAACTTCGGATAAAGCGGTGTATTTCCTGTGAAATTGTATAATTAGAATTATCTTGTGGAAAAAATAGAAGAAAATGTATTAATAAGAATTTATTTTGTAAGCTATAATCTTTTCATCTTCGTTTTATCTTTCATTTTGACAATTGTTATATTTCTCCTCCAAAACTAAAAACGAATTAATTCGTGCTTTCTTTGATGTTCAATTTCATACAAATAAATCTTGTTTAATTTAATTTGTTTGTTTCTTTTTACAGATAAATGTATTCTCAGTGTAATTTACTCACTTATTAGGTGAGACGCAAATGGCGTTTACATTATACTTGTCAGGCAATCGAATCAATTTCTGTTGTTGCTGAAGAATATTATGAATTGCCAATACGTTGCCAACCGGGTACAAAATTTCCGTATCCGTGATATAATATGCGTTACCGATAATATTCGTCTTTAAACCGTAGAAAACTCGAGTTTGCAAGGATGCAGCCATTTCACAGCTTTTTCAAATTAATTGGTAAGAATAATATCTTCTATTTACAATAAATCTATTTCTATTTTAATTCCATCCTGTACATTTTTTTCTGCAATTTTTAATTTTTTTCCTCTCTAATATTTGGATACATGCGTATTTCATTTTCAGTGCAAAAGATGACGGAACGTGACGGAAACAAGTAGATCTATATAAAGTTGTTTACATTTCCTAGGCAACGCATAATCGCAAAATTTGCATTTACCCGCCACAGCCAAGTAAAGATTTGCACATGTGCATTCGACTTTCTTCATGCAATATGCAAATGAAAGAATTTTAGGACCAATCAGAATACCCGCTCGCCGAATAATCGCAACAAATTATGATTGGCGTTGTAGTCGTCCCTCTACAACAGATCTGTGGATTAGAGAAGTAACCGAACGGTTCCATTCAAAAATCACTTCACTCGACATCAACATTGTTTTGGCGCGAAGTTGTTTTAGAGCAAGAGTTAACAAAAAGTACAAACTTGATTGATTCATCTTATTGCATCTTATCGTATACATTAAGACACATTAACGTAAGGTATTCTTCTTTCATCAAGGTTTTGACATTACTTTTTGCTATTCTAACCTGTATCTTAGGTTAAGCCATGCCACCAAGGTCAAATTCTTACTAGAGCGCGAAAAATGTTGAGAGAATCTATAAAATAATATATATTATTCCGTTATTTATTTCTCTGTTCAGAAAAATGGAAGATGCGATAACGGCACGTTTAAAAAAGCTAGTATCAAATAGCAATGAAGCTCTGGAATTCAGATTGATCCGTGATCTTGATGACTTGAATTCAAAAGAGGCTGTATTTAAACCAGAAATGACTTATCAAGTGTTTGGCGACAGGTTTGTTATTATAATGTCAATTATTAAAGTTTACTTCTCTTTATTAATGTATATTATGTTCATTAAAAAATGTATATATTACATAAATAATCTATTGCTTATTTTTTTTATTTATTCTAGGGAAATAATATTTGGTTATGGTGAATTAAACGTACAGCTGTTCTACTCAGCAGGCTGTTTAGAAACATATTTGGGAATGACATATAAAGAAAAAGTGAATGAGAAATGTGACGGAGTTGAAGCGGATGAAGTTTTAACAAAGATCGCCACAAAGCTCGCCCCTAATGTCCACTACAGTTTAAGTAACTTTACTAATTCACTTTCCAAGGATGAAACATTTATACCATACGGAGAATTAAAACATTCTTTCTCAGTGAATGGTATTTTCATTTTCTATCACTTTTCTATATATATAATTATTAAAATATATTTATTCTAGACTTTTTAAAATTTGAGTATATCAATTTTTTATTTTATATGAAATATAGATCAAGGTGCCAAGAGGCAATTTGTGGTCTACAAAGCAGATATGAACTACAAAGGATTCAAAGAATACCATCAAAGGGTTCAAACATTTCTTCTTTGGTATATAGATGCGGCTCTTTTTATTGACCTTGATGATGATCAATGGCAATATTTCAATTTGTAAGTGCTGTTTGGTGTTATACTGTCTCAACTAATAAATAAATAATTGCACGCTGCATAAAATCTTTATTAAATAATTTATTTCTCAACACAGGTTTGAAAAATATACCACACCTATGGGTACAACTCGATATGCGACAGTTGGTTTTGCTACTGTGTATCGATATTATGCGTATCCGCAGCACATTCGACCACGTATCGCTCAATTTTTAATTTTACCACCGTTTCGAAGGATGGGTCTTGGCACACATTTATTGCAAACAATTTATCGCGAGTACATTGGGAGGGAAGAAGTAAAAGATATAACAGGTAATGGAAAAGTAATTCGAAATTGTGTATTATACACACTAATTATTGTGTTTCAACGAGTCTGTTTATTTGCAGTTGAAAGTCCGTCTGAAGTATTCCAACGACTGCGAAACTATGTAGATGCTTTAAATTGCAGCATGTTGCCTAGTTTTGAGCCAGAAAATTTGAGACAAGGTTTCAGCGACAAAATGATCATTGAAGCTAGAGATCATTTGAAAATAAACAAGGTACTTATATTAGAGCATGCAATATTTGTTTTCACTACTCTAATGCTTTCTCGTTCTTTCACATTATAAATATATTGTTACAGAAACAGGCTCGTATAGTATACGAAATTCTACGATTGCGCGCGACGAATGTAGCAAATCCGGAAGAATATCAGGCATACAGAATAGATGTAAAAAAAAGACTGAATATACCGTTTAAAAGAAAGCAGAATGAAGAATTAAAAATAGAACGCGCGTTAAAAAACGTTAATAAAGGAACTTATACTAAAGAGAATGGTCTACCGTCTGATGAGCAGCGCAAAGAGATATTGCAACAGGAATACGAGTTCTTGGAAGAGGAATACAAAATGGTCGTTAAACGTTTGGAATACGCCGTCGATCTGTGAAACGATAATTGAATTTATACAAATTGATTGATATTAATTATGAAATTTTTAAGCCATGAAAGTGAAATATAATAATAATTTTCAATGTTTTTTATATATTTGCGTGTACGAGTATTTTTTTCTATTTAAATTTGTCTTTGTTTTTTTACTTCTGACGATATTTTATTGTTTTTGTCAGATAACGCTATACTCAGTTCGTTGTTAATTGGCACACATGTTATTTTGTCAAAAATGGTTAAGTAACTAATACAAATTCTTCAAAATTTCTGGTCTAATATTCATTATTATCAATAAAGAAACAAATAATGATACTTGTGTCTTTGTAATTTGTTATATCTAATGCGCAAATGAAGATTCTGCAGCATCGCTGAGTTATGCATTCAGAATGTTACGTGCACATTTAAAACGTTAAAGAAAGTGAGAATGACCGGTCGTGAATTATGGTAACGTAACGGATAGAATGCCGTCTGTCGTCCCACGAATCTCATGTCGCACGTGAGCCAGAGTTCATCCGATGAGGCCGTATTGCTCACTCGGGGTTACAAACTGTTGAGAAAGCTCGGTGAGGGTTGTTACGCAAAAGTTAGTTAATTCAAAAGTTAATTAAAATATTCAATCTCTAAATATTTCAAGCACATGTCAATTACATTCTTCTCATTTGTTGCAGGTGTATCTGGCCGAGTATAAACCAGAACACGAAGCAGATCGCAACAACACTTTAGCCTGCAAGATTATCAACACCACAAGCGCGCCGAAGGACTTTGTCCAAAAATTTCTGCCACGCGAACTAGACATCTTGGCAAAGCTGAACCATCCGCATGTCGTGCACGTGCACAGCATCTTCCAAAGGCACAACAAGTATTTCATATTTATGCGCTTCGCCGAGAACGGTGATCTTCTCGAATTTGTTCTGAAAAACGGTGCAGTGACGGAAAATCAAGCCCGCGTATGGTTCCGTCAGCTCGCTTTAGGTATCATAATGTTTGCCAAGAGATTATATATTAATTTGTTAAGATCATTAATTACAGAAAGCAGTTGTTAATCTTGGCTTAATCTCTACAAAAGCAATATTGGCATGATCTGTGGATGTTGTACATGCTTCCTTCAATTTATATTTCAGGTCTTCAGTATCTGCACGAGCTGGAAATCGTACATCGGGATGTCAAGTGTGAGAACGTTCTTCTAACGTCTAACTTCAATGTAAAATTGGCGGACTTTGGATTTGCTCGTTATGTGGTTGATAGCCGCGGTAAGCACGTCCTCAGCGACACGTACTGCGGTTCGCTCTCGTATGTGGCGCCAGAGATTCTCCGCGGTTATCCGTATAATCCAAAGATGTCTGACATATGGTCGTTGGGAGTGATCCTCTACATATTACTAAACAAGGCGATGCCGTTTGACGAGAGCAACGTAAAGCGTTTATACGAGCTGCAAGTGGCGCGCAAATGGAAATTCCGTAAAAGATCGGACCATCTAACCGAGCATGTAAAGAAACTTGTGAGCAATCTGCTCGAGCCGGAAGTATTTAAACGCTGGCACTTGGATCAGATTGTCCATAGCGACTGGATCGCCATGGATCCGCGTCTCCTGGTGCTGACGCCTGCGGAGCAGACCGCGCTGAGCAACGCGATCGAGGAGCGAAAGAAACACGAGGAAAAGGTCACGAAAAGGGAGGTCGTACGAGCGGAGGAGAGTCCCGTACGACTGTTACTCATAAACATTTTTTACAAATCCAAGTGTCTCTTAATGTCGTTTTTATCGTATATTGCATTGACGATGCGTAGAACGCTGCTGGTCATTTACCAAGCGTATACGCATATTTTATCACACTTTCGACTACAAGATTAATCAAATTTTGTAATTTAATCGACATAAAATACATAGATTCTCTCACATCTTGTAAATCAAATCCATAATTAAAAGAAAATATGTAACAAATGGTGTCGCGACACTACGAATAATCGATTTTCAGAAACGGCACAAAACTGAAGAGACAAAAAAGATTAACGAGCACAGGTCGCATGAAGCGGAAGCGCAAGCGGAAGTAACAATCCTTAAAGATGTTGTAAAAGTATGCTACTAGAATTAATTACATATTGAGAAAAGGATAAAATGGCACAAATCTTCTTTATCTCTTTCTTAGGAAGCAGTTTCAACAATCATGACAGTCGGAACTCACCTTAACAATCCATAGCCTGTTCTCACTTATCATTTGTGGAAATAAAAAAACTAAAAATAATTTGATTCATTGCAATTCAATATATATTTTCTTGAAGTAACTAACACAAATACAATTAATAGATACAATTAATATCTATAAATTTTCTACAAATCTCATATTTTTCTCGTTTTTAACTTGCGAGCAAGAACAATAAATACGCAAATAATAAAAAAACATTTACAACTGTATATATAATATACTTGTAAAATTCAAGTAAGCTCATTAACAGAGATAGCTAAGAAATATTTAATACATTTTAATTACCCACGTAACGCGCTTTGAAAACAGCAGTGCTATTTTTCGTCGTCGCTGTAACGTAATAATCAGCACCGAATGCGAAGGTCTTTATTTTTCCATTCAGAGGTAATTTAAAAATGTGTTCGGGATGAAAGATTCCTCCGAGATTCCACATACCGTCAAATCGCATTAATAAATGTTGGTTATTCGGTGTTTTACTGATTATAAAGTTATATGAGCCTGGCAAAATATATTGCTCGAATTCGCCCCATAGTTGATAATGCAATATCAAAGTCTGTTCGGACAATCGCAAAACAATCCACAAGGAGTCATCAACTGGTTCCACAGATGCTTGGAGTATATTAAACACGTTTAATCCTGTCGATAAATATTTTGTTATTTAATTATTCAAATTCGAATAACAGTTTGAATATACTAATTATGTTATTAAATTTTCACCATAATACAAGCTGCAAATATCCTTTTCTAATCATAAAACTCACCTGCTTTCTGAAGAAGCTCTTCCTTTATATCATCATATGAATAAATCGCAACGAAATCTGACGATACTAATACTAGAAACGCAACATCATCTAGCGCTACCAATTTTTTCATTATAAGCGCACTGGAACTTATATTAGAAAGAATATTCAATAATTTCGTATCATTGCAAAGCAACGAAAGATTTTTCGGCTCGCAAAGGCAAATGCTGTCAAGATTTGTTACATCCTCGGTGTTAGAAGTGTTGAAAGTGATGTCTAGTGCATTTTCATCCACCGCTTCAAATTTATTCACATAAATTGCACGATCTGTAAAAACAAAAATTTACAAATCTTTGATAAATCAATCTTATTAATGAAATTGTTTTGACGATCAAAATTTTAACTTACTTTGTAATGCAGTCGTTATGTCTTCCGATAATTCCATAACTTCCGTTGTTCTACTCAAGACAGCACCTAATTTACTTTCGTCACTAATATTTTTTAAATCTGTCCCTTCGTAGAGCCCATCGATTGTGACATTTCCGAAAATTTCCAGATCGTTTCTGAAGTCGAATTCACTTTCTATTATCTGGTGTGTTTTTAATTTCTTCATTTGAACATTGACCAACTCCGTCAGATTCACATCATTTATAGTGCCGTCAATGATAAGAGATGGTGTGTTGAGTTGGCCTTGTATTTTTTTAATACCAAGCACTGTCTGATTTCTGGACTTTAGTAAAGCCTCTTCGACGTTGCGACCCATAATCGTTCCTTTGATACTAAAAAGAGAAGAACTATGTTCTTGATGATGCTTAAGAAAAATATTCCTTCAATGAAGATATCATTTACCTTAAATTATTCAAGCTGATGTTGCTAAAGGTCTTTTGACCTTTAATTGTAGACAGTTTTTTACATTTTTTAGTTAAAGCATTTCTAACTAGGGTCGAAAACTTCGAGTTCAACCACCTGAGATTCTTGGTTTCCAAATTTAAAACTATCTTCTCACCAGTAATAATATTCTGTCCTACATCATGTCTAACAATGTCCTTGTTCAAGTCGATGCCATTGAGCTTACCATTCCAATTCCCATCACCTAAATTCAGCACAAATAATTCGTTTTTTTATACTTCTATTTCTATTTTTTTATTAGAAATAATATTGATTTCTCCTTTAATTTGCCTTACTTATATCCAACTCTTCAAAATGCCATGCAGCACCTACAGTTTGTGCAGTATTCCTCTTCAATGAATTAGTCAGCATATTCGTCAAGTTGAAGTCTGAACATTGAAGAGCTGAATTGTCCGATGCACTAATAGCAGACACCTGAATGTCTTTAAACGACGAAACTACAGTAATATGTTGTTCTTTTGTTTTGCTCAATAACTTATTTGACAGGTCAAACCACAGTTTTACATTTAACGAATTCGCAAAGTTCTGAAATAAGAGAATTTTTTTAGTCGATATTATATTTTTTTAATTATCGATAAATCCTTCTTTTCGGTAATATCCTTACGTGTATTATAACATCTCCTGCTAAAGTCATATTCGTAATGTTCATATTGTTACCAGATATGACTGTGTTTTGATTTGCCATCCATAAATCTTTAGACAGCTGCTCGAGATTCACATCATTTATATTCCGTACAGTCGGTTCCTTTAGAAATTCAACTGATCCTAAAATGGACGTATATTTCGTATTTAAAATCTTTTAGTCTGAAGTGTATAATAAATTCCATGCTTGTATACCTTGTACAATAAATGTTTGCGGTACATCGCTTGCGAAATAACCGAAAGTCTGAGGCACGTTTATTGCATTCGTTTCCAACGTTGTAGAAATCCGCTTTGAATTCAAATTGAAATGCGCATCTGCAGGAGATAAATTTAACGGCAAGTGGGAAGCGTATATGTGGTTTGATGTAAAACCATGAGCTGTAAAAGAGCGATTGTAAATTAAATTCTCTTTCTAAATTAACTATCTTAAATTGAAAGAAGATGGAAAATGTAACTTACTGAATGTTACGTGTTCTAAGGATATTGCATCATCCACTTTTAGTACATTATCCATAAAAGATTGTATATTTATACCATTGATTTTCTTGATATTACTATCTCCTTTTACAATTACGTTGCCTACCCTTATAGGTAGGTCAAGATTGAAACGGATTGGTGTTTCAAGATTGTCGACAACAAGCTTTGGGACATTTAGCGGTCCTTTAATGTAATATTGTACGTCTGCGTCCCATTCATTTGTTTGGGGCTTTAGATCTATAAATATAAATTATAAGAGTGTAATATAAAATCTTTATAGCAATACGAGGGTCAAAGTAAAAAAGTGAAAAGGAACGTTTGAGGAATTAAATTCTTAAAAAAAAAGCCTTTTTAAAAGATCTTTTCTTAATTGTTTTTACCTTCTACATTTATTCCAAGAATTTTTGAAACTGTAATATTTTTCGCAAAAACGTGTCCAGTAAATAGTTTCGTTGAAAAATCAATATCGTGCAAAGCTGATACGGAATCGAAGATTGTCGTGTTCAACTTATGAGCTCCAAGAACTTGGGAAACATTTAAATTTTTTACAACTAATTCATCAATCGTGATCGAAGAAGTTTTAATATCTGGAGTGACGACTTCCTCGACGCAAACAGGAATCGTCAATCTGAAACAGATGTGTTTTTGGAATCTGCGATATTTTGTATATCTTAAAGCAAAAAATATGTATGTACCTCATAGTGGGTGCCTCGGTTGCATAAGTAGCGTCTGTCAATGTAACACTATTGTTCGTAAATTTATTACCAGAAATAACAATAGTCTCAGCAGAATTCTTTGTTATCCAATTCGAGTAGTCCCACAAAGATACGTTGGTCCATTGCTGAAAATAAAGACGTCAAGTAAATTCGATCACAGAAAGATACACATGGATTTTCCGAAATAATTACTAACTATTTTATCGCTGGATAATGTCAAATGCATCGGTATATTAGAATTGAGTGGTATGCTATTTTCCATTATCTCTTTGATTGACGATCCATCAGCTCTAACGATGTCCTTAGCTTGGACGAGATTTCGGAATGTCACATTTTGCAGGAAACGATCGTTAAACAATGTCATAGGCGTGAGAATCTCTTTCACAGGTGCTAATTTTTCGCTTCCTTTGCCCGTTATTCCGCCTTTTAAATTGACAAGTCCCGTCATTCTCACTTTTGGAGCAATTATCGAGCCCATCATTACGATTGAGGAACCATTTAGCGGCAGGAGAAACTCATGACCAGTTAAATGTAATTCTTTCACTCTTACTTTTTCCATTCGCACTTTTTGTCTCGTATTATTTGTCGCGATATCTAACGGGATTGAAACATTTGATGCGTGCAAGTTGACGAAAACATGCTCACCTAAAATCCATATATTGAATATAACATGCTGTAAACTTAAATAAAAAAGAAGTGAGCAATGTATTGTATAAATTACCCCAAATTTCTTGATCCCCTGAAATTTTCAACGTTCCTTCTTGCAGATCTTGCATTAATATCCCGTTAATAGATTCTTCAACAGATATGTCATCCACATTAATATTAGGAATGGGACATTTCCAATTATTTATCGTATTTACTTTCAACTTCGGAAGCGTCAGAGTCTGATGAATAGGTGGTTCTGATAGATTATATTTAGGTTTAATTTTATTATCCGTAATTATATGACGAACGTAACAATTTGACTTGCACTTGACTACAATCTTTTTGCCATACAAGATAGTGTGCTTCGATCCTTCAGTTTCTTGCGCCAAGATACTTTTCGTCGAATTTAATTTGGCGACTGTACTCTTGTATTGTTGTGTTAAGTGGATTAGTTCTTCTGTATTATAATTGTTCAGCTATAAACAATGCTCACAGATAAAATTTTTAACCAATTTAAAGCAAACGATAAAAATATGTTTTTTTCGTAAATTAATAAAAATTAAGATAAATAATATCTTACATTCTGGACACGAAGATGACTAATATATGCATTTGAAATCACGGAATTCTTCACATCTGGAATTTTTGCTATAGTTCTCTGAGATGCCTTTTGTATTACTTCAGAACACCAAGCTTTTACTTCTTTCTGTATAGATTTCCATGTTTTTTTCAGAGTCCAAATAGGTTTTAAAAACTTCCACTCTCCGTTCTGATATTGCGTCACTAATACATCTTCATCGTGCAAATGAATTTGATGAATCTGACGAATGTTTGACAATTTCCTATGTGACTTTAGAAATCTCCAGCCATTGTACTGATAAATTTCCACGGTATCTTCATTCATAGAAAGAAGAAGGACAGTATTTTCCATTCTTAAAGCATAAATATGTTTCGTCGGAGCAACTTTTTGAAATGGCACAAAACGATCGTACATCTCTTTGTAGAAAATTGTAGAGTTATTGCTAGCCAAAACAAGAAAGCTCTCCTTGAGATGGCCTTCTTTAAAGTAAAACGAGCTGGCATCTTCAATGTAATGTAATTTCTGGGTCTCTATAAATTTATTAGAACGCACAGAAAATCGGAATATCTTTGTGTGAGACCCTATGACGACAATGTGTACGAAGCTCTTATTCTGAAAGAATAATAATTTTCTCGTTCCGAAGTTCAAAGTATCAATTTTGTCAAAGTATTCTCCAGCCCAGATGTATATGATTGTTTTCGTCTTTGAAGCGATTCCCAAATACAGTTGATTCATTCCAAACCACATATTCATGTGCACTACTTCAAAAACTTCAAACTCTTGCTTAAATTGTAAATCAAAAATTCCATTTCTGTTTTTGCCAAGATGCAGAATGACAATTCCATTGATGCCTTTCTGAGCAACTATAAGCGTACCAGTGGTACAATTATTTACTATTATCCGTTTTCCATCAAATAGTGGATATGTTGCCACCAGATGTGCTTTATTATCCTAAAAAAATAGTTATATTTGCAGAGTTTCATATTCGTTTAATATAAAATAATTTAATATAAAGCACAATATAATTAAATATTACTTACAAACAATTGATAAAGCAATATATTTGTGGAATTAACGGTTGCCGCAAACCAGAGCAATTGATATTCATCTTGGATTGAAAAAAAGCTATATCTTGAAAGTCCGATAGATTAGCGGACAAAGTTTTTTCAAAATTTTGCAACACATTCACATCTGTAAAAGCAAAGTTTGACGCTTATATTTTTATCCTCTTTTTTTATTTGTTTAGAAAAAACAGTTGAACTATTCAACAAACAATTTTTCACTTATTTGATGGTTACACAATCATTGTTTTCTAAACCTTGTCGATACCAGCTGATCTCTTGATAACCTCAATGTAAACGATTCACATTGATTCGCGTGGATTCGCGTGAAGCATTATCGAGTCAGTTTAGCCGAATTGCTCAAATCGCCCGATTAAATACAAATAATCGATTTGTTATTTTGTCGTATGTGTCGTCGTTCAAGAAAGTATGTCCACTGTGGAAGAGGTGACGGAAAATTTGACAGCGCAGGTGAACGAGTTGCAGGCTTTGCAATCCGTCTATCCGACCGAACTAGTCGTGGCGGATTATGGGGTTTTGGCTGACATCAACGAATACATCGAGCACCCTAATCGAGATCCACCGCGGTGGCTGGAGTATTCCATTGCGATCCCGTTAAACGGTGTAATATTTTTATGTATAATATAATATTTGTATAATGTATATGCTTTGATACAATTTTGCAACAAGAACATTTTTTTCTACATTTAACATCTGTTATTAAAATATTGTTTGTGCTTTCAGGAGAACATTGAGCTGCTAGTGAATCTGCCAACTAATTACCCAAAAGAGCAGCCTGAAGTGTATGCAAGAAGCTCGCGTTTGGATAGAACACAACAGTGTCTGTTGAACAAGGAACTGTCTATTATTGTTAAAACTCAGGAGGCAGGAGAGCCATGCATTTATACATTGATATCATGGCTGCAGGATAATGCAGAAACTTATCTCAAAGCTTCCACATCTAACCAGGCAGTTGGAAATGATATGAGTAAAAATGACACGACAGATCAGACTCCAGTAGTTTTCTCCAGATATTGGATTTATAGTCATCATATATATAGCAAATTTAAACGCCGGGATGTAGCTAATTTGGCAAAAGAGAACTCTATCACAGGATTCTGTTTAGCTGGTAAACCAGGTATCATCTGTATGGAGGGAACACTGGAAGACTGCGATTATTGCTGGCAAAAAGTATTATTCACAATGATTTCTTTATGTCTCAATATTTAATATAACAAAGATAACTTATATATTTATGATTTGCAGATTAAAACTATGAACTGGCACAGGATATTAATAAAGCTTTTGGAAAAGGAGGAAAACTGTAACAGTGTGGAAAATATGCGTAAATTTATAGATTTTCAGGAAGTTTCCTTTCCTACTACTGAGCGTCACAACGACATGGGTCAACTTTTCAAATATCTAACTGATCACGATTGCCAGCATGCATTTAAGGAACTTTTCGGCATTGAAGGAAAATTTAGCAAACTTTCAGATTAATAAGAATATAAATGTTAATAAATATGCATTTTGTACATCTTTCAATTTTATAGAATTTTTACACGCGTTGTTAAAATTTTATACTTACTTTCACTGGATTCATTATTCTGAAGACCTCTTCTTTCACGCTTGCTTTTTGGAAGAATCGCTTTAGTCGTATTTTCCATATACTTATTAATTGCATCGTTAATACTATTTAAAGTGTTATTGGCAGTATTTAGTTCGGATACTAAAAACGCCAAATGTTTAGTAAATAATGAAAAACTATGCACATATATAAAACTACAAAGATATAATTAATTAACTTTACCGTTACTCAGATGTTTGAAATATTCGGTTGTTTGATCAAGTATTGCATATAAGTTTTCTATCGGATAAGAAGAAGAATGTTTGCACTTTATCACACATATTAATATGAAAAATTTGCACAAGCTTTTGTAACATATCTACATAAACTGTATCCTTTAGAGCTACTGATCACGATTGATTCACAAGTGATGGGTTGGCTTCGAGTGATTTACCACTCAACAATATAGCGTGTTTACAGTTTTTATGTACACAACTCATACATTCTTAAATTCCAATGTATATAACACGTGTACTACGTGTAATATAATAGATACCAATACCATAAATGTACCATAAATGTGAATATATACAAGTCTCAAACTTTCTGGCTTACAGATTCTTTTGGCAAAAAAATTTTTACACTCTTAAGAAATAGTCAGAATGAAATTTTAATGAGTAATTTATAAATTATATAAATGAATAAAAATAAGAAAATTTACAATTTTACTGAATTACAGTTTGGTGAATTTAATTGGTAAATCTTATCTAATTGTGGCATAGCGTAAAAACTCATTGGTGAGAAATTGTCCTGGAATGTAAGGCGCTGGTGGGCCGAGGATATCTTGCGCAGGACTGTAGATCTTAATTTGTCTCATATGAGTGTCTCTGCCGTTTTGATGATTGCTAATGACAGCTATTTGAATCATGAATGTTCTAATGGGACGATCATTGATGTTTTTAATGGGAATCATTATCCAACCGCATGGTTCATTTAAATCCATTACTTCTACCTCTTGAAGATCGTTAAAGTTGGTCCCAGCTCTGATACTTATCCTATTAATTGCGCAAAAAAATCTAAATTAATAACCACGCTAATCGTAATAATTTACATCTCCAAGCAATAGAAAACTACCTGTTGGGCGTGTAGCTCTCGTCTAACTTGTAATCTGTATAGATCCATATGTCACGAATAGTAGTCTTTCTTTTGAACTGAATATTTACTAAATGCGGTAGTTGTCCATCCGATTGCCAATATGTTTCCGTAATACCGTCACGCAGCTGGTCCACGCCAAATCCTGGTTTACAGCTAGACAAACTCCAGATCGCATAATTTCCAACTTCTCGTATTCTACCAGTCAACTGTTCTTGTATAGGGTCTATCTCACCTAAGGAAACTTTTGGTGTATAAATTATTCCATAAAATAGTCTCTTATTTAGAACAATCTAACACATATAAAGGAAAGGCTCAAATGACAACTATCAAATAATATAATAGAAAGGCATAGAGAGCCGTCGCGGGATGTTAGTGCAAAATTATAATTTTTCTTAAAGAAATTAATTTGTTAGTCTACGTGAGACAGTTAAATTTAGTCTCTTATTTAGAATTCTATATATCAATCCTTTTTAATATGCAAAATAAAAGATACTTAGAAAATTGTGGTATATTTACCAGTGTTGTTAGTTTTATTACTCATAGTTATAGGTTATACTTCCTCAAACCAGTCGTTCCAATTTAACAGTCTTATTATTTAACTCCTTGTTTTGTAGATAACAAAATAAATATCATATAATGTAACAACTAATTAGTTCCAAAAGTTAGAGTCTTAGAAAAATTGCAACACTTATTTCTAACCGTCAACAAATATTTTGTGACGTTCAGTGACGTTTGTTTTGGGTACTCTGAAAACGAGATTTGTCCTCGATTCGCTGTCAAGATTTCGATACTCTCGAACGTCATTTAAATATCAAATAAGTTTGTAACTTGTTTCAGATTTATAATTATATATAAGAATCAATCATTATTCAATTATTCGTATTCACAAAATGATTTGTTGCTGAAAAATATTTTTTATTAGTGGAAATTTCAACTTTTATTACTATTCGTAAGCTTTGGCCCAAAGCGGTATTCCCTCTCTTATGCTGCTTGCTGCTTACGTCTCAAATCTGGCGTTATTGTTCTTAATTCCGAAAAATCGGTTTGTTGTGCTGCGTGTCACTATGGTTAAATTGATCGTTTCAGAAGCATTTTATGACTTCATGCTGATATAGTTTAAAGTTCATAAATTAAAATTTGTTTAACAAGTAATGACAGTTTTATCAAGTTAATTTTATAAGAAGAAATTAAAGCTAGCAGTCTGAGATTAATTAATTAATTAATTAATTCGCAATGACGCTAGCGTTGTCGAGAGTAGATTATACAACAGTAGGAGTTACCTCACGCGGCACAACTGTCATATTTCCATCTAGTGAACCAACAAAGCAGCCACAAAAATTTGCCGTTGCTGATTATGACGGCATAATACATATTTATGGTAAATATCTATACTTCATATTTTATTAAATTAAGAAAAGTCCTTATTTGTTAATTAATATGAAAATTTTGATAACAAATTTAGGATTAATATTAAAAGATATTTTGTAATTAAAATTACAAATTAAAATTATTATAAAAAGATATCCTTATGTTATATCAAAATAAATATTAGAAAATATTTTAATATTCAAAATCCTTTGCTGAATAGGCATGAAAAAGGGGGAGCTGCAATTGTCATTTAAATCCTTACCCGGCCCAAAAATCCAGAAAATGGTCCTTGGTGGCTCGTTAGGTATGTTAAGGGATAAAATTTTCATTGCGTACGGCAGCTCCGTGAGAGGATTCACGAAAAAGGGCAAGCTATTCTTAGAATTTGATACCAGCCTCATAGATCCAATTTCCGCACTGTAAGCTCACTCACGCTCAGCTTACTTCACTGACGAATTTTTGACATTTTTTTTACTTTTCTGTTATCGTAATTACTGGTATTTCTACGTAGATACGTCCTCGGTCCTGATCTTGCAGCGTGCGCTCGTGATCTTTATCACAGATACAAAGACTGCAAAGACGCCGATTCCTATTTGGCCGGAGAAACGTTGCACGACGTCGCGCTCTTGCCAGGAGACAACAATGCGGTGCACGCTATTCTCGCTTGTGCAGACTGCGCGGTAAGATTTTATGGATCGAGTGTGTGATTCAAGGACTCATCTGGAAAATATTATTCCCTAAATATTAATCAAGAGTTGTAGCTCTAAGTAAGCTTTATTTTAAGAAAGCACTAATTAATCAATTATTTGATAATTTTATCTGTGCAATTCCACGAGATATCTTACTATCTTTATAAAAGATATTAAATACATACTTTTATGTTCTAAAATTTATTTTACTTGTGCAAAGTTTGAAGAGATTTATTTTATCGTTTTTTAATAAGTTTAATAACTTTTAGCTGATTCAACATTAATATATAGAATTGTTATATTCGCATTCTACTAGGTTCGTGTTTTACATGGCACGAGAAGTCCAACAGTCCTGAGATTACCAAGTGCTCCTACGGTGCTTTCTGTATACAGGTAATCTTACCACATTTCACTCACATGTTTTTCATAGATTATTTTATACGTATTTTGAATAGCTCATATTTGACCGCAATTTTATTATTTCAGGGAAGGAGAGATATACTCGAAGGATCGCGTTTTGGTCGGCACCGCAGACGGTAGAATCGGATTGCTGATTCTCCAAGGCAATAAAACTCTCCGAATCACCTGGCTGCTAACTTCAACAGGCGCAGGAATCACTTCGTTGGATACTCATCAATTGCAAGATGATGTAGACATCCTTGTAGGTCGACAGGATGGAGTCGTCGAAGTGTACACATTTCCTGATGAAGACGTAACGTCCACTCTGCGCTATCATTACGTAAGTGATTATGCCAAGTCCTTATCGAGTGAAATCAAATCAGTTTAGAGATGAATTATTGCAGAATGCTGGCGAAAGTATCAGTACAGTTGTGGGTGGAATAATTGGCGTCGCTAATTATCCTGAGGTTCTTGTTACAACTTACTCAGGTCGAGTATTCGGATTGACCACCAGTCCTCCCGGTCTGCTCGAGGCAGGACAAAGCGACGTTGGACTAGCCAGACTGAAACTGGAGATACAACAATTGCAGGAAAAACTCAACGAAGAGAAAGAATCGTCCAATTTCATGCCGGATCCTCTGGCACCCTTGATACTGGCGGTGAATCACAAGTAACTGCAACTAAATCATTTTTATAACGCTGAAATATAAAATTTTGATTAAGATTTAAATTAAGATTAAAATGTATCTTTAGGATGATTTTGAACAAGGAAGATGCTTCGTACACGCTGTCTGTAGAATTGGATGCATCGATCGACAATATCCTGATACAATCCGATACGCCCGTCGATCTGCTGGAGACGGAAAATAATAGCGCGGTGGTCAGCTTGTCCGCTTGCGATCCTAGAGAGGGCAATTTCGTCCTTGCTACTTATCGATGCCAAGTATGCGATTTTTTAGTATCTAAATACTTTCTTGGAATTGCAATTATCACAGAAATCATTTATAAATAGATTAACACAAACCGTCTGGAAATGCGATTGAGATCCATCGAAGGTCAATCGGGCACATTACAAGTCTACGTAACATCCCAGGTATTGTACATTGCATGAATAATTGTACGTACAACAATTACGTAAAGTATATGGAAAAAAATCCTGTTTTAAAACAATTTGCATCGATTTTAATTTATCACATTTGTCAAATTATCTTTGTCCTAATTTCAGAAAATTGAACTAAAAAAATTACATTAAAAAATTTACGTTATTTCGAAATTTATAGTTTGCGTTAACCAAAACCGAATTCTCGCAACTTATTTTACTTTGTGCCTTTTTCAGGTACAACCAAAACGTTGCCGTAAAATTTTAATTCCCATTTATGCCTTGTCTCTGCACGTCAGGCAGCACGATGATGATAACACTACGCAGTCCAGCGGTCCATTTAATGAATTGAAATTAAATGGCAATTTTACGATTGCCGAGGTATGATCTTCCATTCTGTTAACTTTGTCGCGGTTTTTCACATTTCTGTTGGACTTTTCTTTCGTTCAGATGCACGCGTGGCTTTCTCTGGCATTACCAGACGTACCCGAAAGACCTCATATTCATGAAGGTGAAGCTGTTTTAGTATATATCTCATCCTTTATTGGAACGATGCTTAAATGCAAATATAAGTAAGTTTATAATAAAATTGTTTATATTGACACGCACAATCTACATTCGTTATTCAACTTTGGTTAAATTGTAGAAAAGGAAGCGCGCTGTTTCTCGGCGAAAATATATCCAGCATCATAATTCTGAGAGATATACTGACGAAGGAAGCGACAAAGCGAAAGATGAAGCTGGATGTATTCTGTGGTAATTTCCTGCTTTCAAAATCTCAAAATAGCTAGATGGTACATCAATTTCTTTACAGAAGTGGCAGAAGGAAGCATATCCAGGGTTCTGGAATTGATTCTCCCGCGATTGAGCGCAGCCTACGATTTAATTCAGAAGATAAAAATTTTGGACGCCCTCGAAGAGTGGGAACTCAAGTCCAATCCGAAGGAAAATTTGTGTTCCGAGTATCAGGAATTGTTGGAGAAGGAGACGGAAACCAGATCGCTCATGGCGAAGGACAGTGAAGTTCTAAACAGGCTGTATGCAATTATTACTGACTTATACGTAGACTGGGAACGAGCGAAGCGATCTCGAAGGTAATGATAGGATTTTCAGAAAAATATAAAAAATCATGGCCTGAATGTAATATTATTTTCGCAACAGGATCAGTAGCAAAGAGGCTACGGCGAAGCTTAAAGATGCCCTTGAAGCCAGAGATTTAACTAATATCTTGCAAATTTTCATCGGCAAAGCAGACATAACCGTGTCAACTCTGATACCTGCGGCTATTTAAAACATTCAGAGAAATAAAGTGGACCAATATATTTGTATAAACATGTTCAAGTAAAAAATATATTTTTTAACGATAATTCACAATATATAAATCGCTAAATTGTTTAGACTTAAAAATGTACAATATTAATGTTAATTACAATCGCTCGTATATATAAACGGTAGCACGATTTATGAATCATTTATATATATAAATTATATATTTATATATATATATAAATTATATAATTATATATATAAATTATAATATATATATTATATTATATATATTATAATATATATTTATATATATATATAAATTATATAATTATATATATAAATTATAATATATATATTATATTATATATATTATAATATATATATTAATTATATAAATTATATATATAAATGATATATAATTATATATATAAATGATGTTCTAATGAATCTTACCATTCTATTGCAAAATAACGATTTAATTCTTAATTATACGCAAATTATTTATTTATTTCAAGAAATCGAAAAATATGCATTATTTATAGGCAGTGCGTTAATGCGATTTATTTATCAGTCGTTTCTATTAAATTATCCAAAAGTAAACGGTAAAAATCTTTAAACTTTACAAAATACTCAAATTTTATAGTTATATATAACCGAACAAATTTTGTTCCAAAATGCAATTACAATTGTTATAAATATATTTTCGGTATTCAACATTTCCGAATATGGCTACATCCTTTTCATTACAAACTTTTCATTACAAATAATAGTAACTATTGCAATTATTTTTAGCTCCACCACAGATTGAAAGAATCAAATCTTTCACAAATTATCCATTTCATCCATTCGATGGAATACATTTTCCTTTCATAAGACGTTCCAAGATTATATGAAAAAATATTGCCTGCAAAAACAGTAGTAGATCAACGAAAAAAAATCTTTCATACGAGATAAGAAATAAAGTTTAAAACACATATAATGGAAAGGCTCCATATGTTAACAAACGAGAAATATAATGAAATGGCGATAAGAGCCGTTGCTAAATAAAGTTTAATTTACTTACATGTTATCAGGTCGTACAACAGCTTCCAGAGGATCTCTGTCCGCGTTTACTACAGTGTCCGCAGTAGATGTGACGGCGTATTCTAAATTTTGTCCACCCGTGTGCGGCAAAATACTTTCCGGATTGTCATCCGGCGGGACGATCTCTACCACACCCGTCGCCTCGACCTCCAGTTTCAGATCTCTCACGAGATCCTGAATCGTTTTCGCCTGCGCTCCTTTGTCGGTCTCCACATCCTCCACATTTTTTCCTGTCAAGTTCCTATTCAGCGACTGTTTGTCATTTGTCTTTGTCCGGGAATGCGTGTGCATGTGTCTCTTCATGTCACTTCGCACTCTGAAGGGCTTGCCGCACACTCCGCACGCGTGCGGCTTCTCGCCAGTGTGTATGCGACGGTGATTCTGCAGATAGCTGCTCGCCCGGAACGTTTTGTTGCAGTATTCGCAGCGGTAATTTTTCTCGCCGGTGTGAATACGCCTGTGCACGATCAACGAGTATTTCCGAGCGAACTCCTTGGCGCAGTACTCGCACTGATACTGTTTGTGCTCCGAATGGATGCTCATCGAATGGTATTTCAAATCGCCCCATTGCCGAAAGTGCCGTCCGCATTCCTCGCATTTGTACGGCTTGTCGCCGCTATGAAGTCTTTTATGCACCTATTTAAAAATTAAAAAGAATTAGTGATAAAATTAGATTATGCAAAATTCTACTCTTTGCGAGTGCTGCTTACTTTTAACGCGCTAGCAGCGAAGAAACGTTTATTGCAGATATCACACTGATGTGGCCGTTCTCCGCTGTGAGATCGCATGTGGTAGACTAAGCTATTTTTATGGTGGAATGAACGATTGCACTGAGGACACGTTAATTCGTCATCTGCAATACAATTCTTTGTTTTAATTTCTCTGTTTTCAACTAAAAGAATTTTTTCGATAAAAGTTATACAGACTCGACTTTCGTATTTTCGGTGACTTCTTTTTTTTAGCCGTCTGTGGAATGTCAGTCTTTCCCTTCTCGTCTAAGCTTTTGTTCTCGCTAATCGCGACTGATGGTCTTATTTGTTGGTCCCTCTGTTGTACCTGTACCGTAATGCTGTCGGTGATGCTCTTCCATATTGTCGATTCGTTGTTTGTAGTAGGCAGTGGAGAGTCTGTATCGTCATCAATATGTGCGCCAGTTTCCTCCACTGCGAATAAAAAAATAACAATTGTAGCTATTCTTAGTTACACCGATATTTTTGAAATCCTAACATTGGAGACATTCTTTCTTACCTACGCCTCGAATGCCTTCCATGAGATCTTCAGGTTCACTGAATTCTTCGATTACAGTGTTCTCTAAAGTATGCACTGTTTCTGGCACCGATATCGTAATGTTGGTATTTGTTGCTTGAGCTATTCGTGTCTCTTGTTTTACTGGTTCATAATGCACCTATAAATTGTTTATATAAAGTTCAATTAATAATAATAAAGTTTAAATATAAATTATTCATTTTTAATAAGTGATTGTTAAAACATTTTTTAAAGATATATATATATATACAAAATAAATATTGAATATATATATTATATATATTGTAAGCAATTAATATGAATATATACCTTTAAGTGCTCGAAAAACTTCAATTGACTGTTAAACTTAGAACTACATAATTCACACTTAAAGACATTCGTCTGAGCTTCACTAGTCGATTCAGCTGCCATATTTTCTTGACTCGATTTGCTACTATCCTTTCGCGTCGCATTTTTCTTTGTTTGTTGTTGCTTTAGTTTACGAGGTATTCTTTTCTTATGGGGTAAAGTTCTCTTAGGTCCGGATGCCGATGTGGCATCTTCACTGCTCTCTGTGGAAACCTCAACATCGTATTCACTTTTAACATTAATGAATTCCTGCTTTACATTTTGCGTAATCCTCTTGAAAGGCTGCAAAGGCGGATATACGGACGGGGTGGTGTTTGCTTCCGACACCGTTTGAATGGAATAGGAATTCACTGGTGCTAGAGTCTCCAAGTGAGAAACATCCGGCAGAGTCGAGTCTTCATGTTGAGGCTGAATGTTGTGAAGCTGTTGTTGTTTCTGTTGCTGGTGCATCTGTACCGCAACCAGAGCCTCAGCGAGACTACGATCCTCCTGCATCACGCAATTCACATTCTACATGCAAGATATAAATGAACATTCCTACAAATTTTAAGTACCATATTACAACCTCTGTCAATTCGTGTGGTAACAAATCATCCGCCTCGTAATACTGAGCACCTGTGCCATAATCGGTGCCAACACCAGCATTGATCATATCTACAACCATCCCTTCTGAGATTAATTCGCCGTTCAGAGTTAACAGTGGTACTCCTTTGCCCAAGGATTCTCCGTCAGCTCTCTGAATGGTGATATATTGAGCACCCTCCATTCCTTCCAGAAGCACAGCCTGTGCTTCCTCTGTTGTAACTTCCATAATTGAGTATGTTCAATTTAATAACTAATAATTGTCTGTCACACTGTCTTTTCCACCAATCTATAGAGGTATTTTTGACCTGTAAAAGCAAATAAAAATTTGAAGAATCAATTTTTTAATTGTTTAGTTCAAAATAGCTTGAAACTGGAATGACATTATTAATCTTTATTTTACGCAAAATGTTCAAGGGTATATTATTCTTTTCACAGAATTCCGCGAATTGTTAATTATTTTGTACTGTGCTCAATCATAGTTTAAATTTGGCGCCCGTGCATACTTTAAGGCAGATAGAGAGACCAAGGTCACTGCACCCGGACATTCAGAAAATTTCACTCGCATCTTGATACACGTCGCACGTGTAAAAATCCGCTTATTCTCACCTCTATTTAGCGTAATTTGCGTGACCGACCGCACTTCTCGTCTTCTCCCCACGGAATTCGAACGACATAAACAAAGCGAAATATTGAAACACTGTAGGACAAAATGTGACAACAGTGCTTGACTCTCGACGCCATTAGACCGGATGTACCCTTCCCATACCGCCCACGTAGTGTGGCCAATATTCACATAAAATCAGCATAAAACCCTATCTCGCCGGTCGGTTAACGTAACTTTTTAGAACATTTTTCCCATTTTTAAAAGTAACTCAATCCTTCTTTTTGTACGTTTTGTTTCTCACGTATTCACAATGCGATAACGTGTAAATTTTCTTACCGTGGCGGATCTCACTTTAGCATTTTCTGCAAATAGTTTTTATTTGCATCTTGGCAACACTGATCGTTATTCTTTTCCGGAAAGTGCGACTTTCCGGTTTCTAATGGCCGTGCAAAATATCACGAAATGTCAAATTAGTATATTCGCAATAAAGAGCGTGTGCGTGATTTTACGGCGCAACGCAATCGCGATCAAACCGGCGAAAGATTTCGCCCGGTGACATTTGCGGCACTCGAGCTCCGCCAGGATTCGGTCCGCCGCGGCGAAACAGTAAATAATCTAAATACACTATTATATCGAGAGCAACTCAAATTTAGGGGTTAAGAGGAAGTTCACACATACGCTGTCACTCTCAGCTGATTCATTTCCCCCGCCGGACAATATCCGTTTATCGTGTCTTCTTTTTTTGTTACGTATGATACGCAGAGGCTTTTATTGAGCTGTCAGTAGAGCTGACGAATAATGTCTGAAGTCCGCAGCGAGAATCGTTAATTGAGAACATTGGGCGAGAATATTTAATACTTAATATCGTACAAGTAAACATTTATTACGGTTCATTGACTGAGAAAAAGTGATACGAACTCCAATGACATGATTTCTATCCGTGTATTTGTAACTTCCGACCATTGTCGCACCGCTATCATACATGATAAAACGTAGGGTCACTGGTGACTGTTTGCACTTTCAGAACCGGGCCCAGCGTTTCGAAATTATGATGTGACAGTGTCCGAATTATCGGATGAAAGTGATGGCTTCGATCTGTCGACGCTGGAGATTATGGATATTGCCAGTGCTGACCTGCCTGTATGCTCTACTTATTGTCATACTTGTACCAATCTTGCTAGTCAATTCTATTAAGAATGGTTTCAAGAAGCAGGATCAAGGCGCACTGGTGGGTGGTGCTTTCGTCCTGTTGGCATTGCCCATCGCCTTCTACGAAATTGTCCAACACATGATATATTATACGCAACCTAGATTACAGAAATATATAATAAGGTGAGACTTTTATCGTTAAGACTCGCAAATGTAATTTTATTTATCTTTATTTTTTATTGTGTGTAGCATTAAAGTGTAAATTTATATTGAATTTATTGCAATATAAAGTATGATACATATAAATAAAGATTTTATTTTATAAATTTACTGGAGTATTTATTAGAGCATAGAGTATAGTATGTAAGCATAAATTTTATTGTGTAATATTTTTCAGGATATTATGGATGGTACCCATCTATGCAGTGAATGCTGTAAGGACAAGTTACAAATCCTTAATATAATAGAAAGTATAAATATTTAGTAAAATGTTTAACGCATGCATTCCTTCGTCTGCACAGTGGTTAGGTTTGGTATATCCCCAAGGCAGCATATATGTGGATAGTTTAAGAGAATGCTATGAAGCATATGTGATATACAATTTTATGATGTATCTACTGGCCTATTTGAACGCCGATCACCAATTGGAACATAGACTGGAAATCTCTCCTCAAGTGCATCACATGTTTCCTCTGTGCTGTCTTCCCGACTGGGAGATGGGCAGAGAATTTGTACATATGTGCAAGCATGGAATTTTACAATATACTGCTGTTAGGCCTATATCAACTTTAGTATCGTTGTAAGGAATCGATTTGTTGATATATATTTATATGCAGTCCTACATCGCGATATTTGATACACTCTTCTATTTTCTGTACTTTTGCAGTATCTGTGAACTGAACGGAGTATATGGGGAAGGTGAATTTAAGGGAGACGTTGCTTTCCCATATATGATTGCTTTAAACAATCTGTCGCAATTTGTTGCCATGTACTGTTTGGTACTCTTCTACCGTGCCAATGTAGAGGCCTTAAAGCCAATGAAGCCAATTGGAAAATTTTTATGCATCAAAGCTGTAGTATTTTTCTCGTTCTTGTAACTATCCACTTTTCATATAAAACACACAAAAAAATACACAATGAGATAACAAAGATGCATATTATGCTTCTGTGTTACAGTCAAGGAGTATTGATAGCTCTGTTGGTATACTTCGACGTTATATCGAGTATTTTTAATACGGATGATACAGATGACATCAGAAATATATCGTCCAAATTGCAGGATTTCCTGATTTGCATAGAAATGTTTTTAGCTGCGGTGGCGCATCACTACAGCTTTTCCTACAAACCATTCGTTAATTTGGCCCAAGGTCAAGCGTGGTGGGATGCATTTAGGTATGTGTAAAACGATAGCAAATTACAGGCGCTTGTATCAAAATGAAATGATACGTTTCGTTCATACGTATTTGTTTTATCTTTACAGAGCAATGTGGGATGTTTCTGATGTACATAACGACATAAAGGAACACTTGGGTGTTGTTGGCTCGTCCCTAAGCCGCAGGATACGCGGACGCGGTGCTTATCAGCAAGCTTGGGGAAGTGCAACAGAGCGTACATCGCTCCTACCAGAGGGAACAGTGATCAGTCAAGCTAGAAGCGCGCCTACTTGCTCATTCTCGGGCTACAATACGGCAGAAGCCGGACTGAACAATAATCCATCCGTCGGGGAATCTGAAGAAGCAATTACGGATGTGCAGGATAATAGTAATACCGTTAATACGTAGCCGATACGTCCTAATTCAATTGCACGAGAACGACACACAATCGATCCATTGCGAAAACGGCGTATGTTAACGCAAATTATTCTTTCGTATTATTTTTAAGCGAAAAAAAGTATATAGTTTTGCAATAATTATCTCCAGCATTGTTGTACAAATGATCGCGATCATTTATTGTCACATGTGTATCGTCCTTGGACATTATATACAGTGTCTCAGAAGCAGGGATATCACTTTAAGACTTCTGATTATTCACTACAGTCATATTAAATTATATCAAATATATAAATTCCTTTCTTGCATTATACGTTGAAAATAAATTAGTTTTTTATATGTACAAGTTGCGTTCGATAGTTGGAGACAAAATTCCCTTAACAAATATATTTTATATTTTTTATAGCAATTTCTGACATTTTATATATTTATATTCAAGCTTTCAATTACAATTTTTAAATAAAATTTTGTTTATTCTATTTGAGATTAATAGAGAACATAATTCTATTGTTTGTTTCAAATTTTTGGATATGTAAAAAAATCGATAGCGAAAGGGATATCCGGTAGTTTTAGGACACTATGTGCTACATGATTTACGATTTAAGGAATTTGATACTACAGTTTCAGCAGTGAATTTTGTGAAGAAATAAACTGCTTACTATGTCCTTGCTTTATGAAAGATACACTTTATGTTACCAAATGTACTACCAAATAATGTATATAAATTTATATATACGTAGCGAAATACGAGATCCGTATGATATTTGTACATACTTCGAATGACCAAGGCATCATGCATTTTACGACACGTCCGACAGATGTATCTATTTTATTTTTCTCTTAATATATCGAAAAAAAGATTCTAAGAACAAACTATATCTGGATATTAGGCGTTTGAAATCTCTTATTCTTTCTCGCTTTGTATGTATACACGCAATGTCCAATCCGTACTCTGTAGTTATAATTTAAAATTATTTTATAATTACAGTATACCGGAAATATAAAGGCTGTGTGTTTACACATTAATAATTTCCTTAATAAACCCATTTCTTTTAAAGAAGTCTGATTAGCGTGCGCATTTTTTTTTTTTTATATAATTTGTAAAGTTTTGCCACTGAACTATAGATATAGATTGTGCACTGCCATGTACGTATGTACATATGTTGGTAGATAGCGAGCTTGAGACAGATAGATTTTCAGGACTTGATGTCTCGCTCATACATATCAACGCATGCGCACATTGCCTCATTGACAGTACAGATGGGCCTAAGAGCCGGTTGCTTCAAATTCTTGGTAGATTTTATCTCTCAGTTATCTAAAATAAATATCAATAAATATTTGTAACAGTTATATCTGTTAATAAAGTTTACCTACGAGTTAAATTGTTATTATCAAGAGATAATTTAATTCGGCATTCCAACCATCGAGTAAGGATTACTGATATTTATCTTAGGTAACCGAAAGAGGTAAAGTCTATCAAATAGTTGGAACAACCGACCCTAAAGAGAGATAATTATTTGTTGTGGCATTGATTGGACAACGCTATTTGAGAAGGCTTAGACGGTAAATTATTCATGATCAATTAATATCGGCGTTCAATAACAACTTTATTGCGCAAATAGTTTTTGCTGTTTCGTAAAGCTAATCTATGCATTCCTTTTTTTTTCGATTTTTTTTTCGATTTTATCATTCTGCTATCGTTATTTTTCCGTTTATCATTAAACGCAACGCAAATCAAAATAACGTGATCATTCGAACGAGGTGAGGCCGTCATCATAATTTTTGGTCATAAAAATTGAATAAAACTGTGAAATGTTACCAAAGAGTCAAACAATATGAAATGTTAAACAAAAATGTTAAAGTTTGAAACTCTTATAAGTATATAAGTCTCGAAAAAAACATTTATGCAACAAGTACCTCAATGTAAAAAAACTGATTCTTAGTAACGATTGCAATATCTTAATACATTAGAATTTTTTCAACTATTTTTGATCAATTTTGCGTAAATTGTGAATGTTAATCATAAATGTCAAACTTTGTGGAACGTACAGTGAGTTAAAAATTAAAATGCAGTACGTCACAAAATAAGCTAAGCAACACGTATCTCAATATAATGTCGGCTTTTTATAACATAAATATAAAATTGTAATAAAAAAGAATGCATAGAATAGATTAGTTTTAAGTATCAGCTAAAAACATTTGCGCAAAAAATTGTTATTTAATAATGTTTGTACCGATATAGATATTATCATAATATCATAATTAATATATCATAATTAATAACCGTTCTAAGTTTTTTCATAAACTATCCAGGCAAAGATCAATTATCTCGCTTTACTCTGTAGAATATTTTCTCTATATAACAGTATCTTTATCTCTTTCTCTTCTGCCTTTGCATAAATTCATTCCCTTCCTCTTGTTCTCGTTTCTTACTATAAATGCGTCTACTACCATTCCACTCGTCAGAGTGCATATTGAAAGCGAAAATTAAAAGAAATAACATCAGTGGTGTTCGCAGTTTGAGCAGTAACATCAGTACCAACTCATATATTTCTATTGTTTGTGAATAACGTGGTTAATGTTGTAAAAATAAATACAGCAATGTTTGTAACTGTTACATTAATAACTTTAATTTGCCTTGGAGTAAGTTACATTTTGTCGAATTTCTGGCGTCGATCTTTAATTAAAAAAATATACAATCTGCCAGGTCCAAAAGCATATCCACTCGTTGGAAGTGCTCTCTATGTTTTGGGAATAATTACTAACGGTAATAACAAATTATAATATACTTAATGTATACAAAAGTAAAAGTAAAAGAGTTAACTTAAATTAAATGTTACAGAACATTATCTTACTTAAATATACCTGCATTACAATTTTGTTATCAATTATCTTTTTATCGAATTACGTGCTTAAATGATTAATTACAATTACTAAAAGAGAATAAATTTTCTGAAAATCAACAATAAAAATTTGAAAATTGCTTACATTATGCTAATCACAAAACATATCTACATGCGTCATCTGCGTACTGCACAATGTAATTACTATTATATACTATTATATATGTTCAATAAATTTTTACCGTAACATTGTGATATAAAACTTGCTATTTTTTAATATATATTTATAAACAAGAAATAGTTCTTTTCTACCGCACGATAAATTAAGTTACTGAATCTTATGCGATGAATATGTCTATGCATTGAGCTTACACTTACAAGGAATCGTACGTTAAATCGTACACTATTTTATTATTCAGTACTTTATAATAAAAAAATCTTAAAAATTAATTTTTTCTAAATGGAATTTATTAATATTAATATGGCATCAATTAATTCTCAAAAAAAAAATTTTTTTGCGTAATAAAAAAGTTTTTTTTAGATATTATGCAAATTGTGAATACACTAGTGAACGATTTTTCATCTCCATTTCGAGTCGGGTTTGGCAGTATTGCATATATCGGTGTATACGACGGAGAACACATAAAGGTAAAAAAATAACGTTTGATTTCTACATGTATTATAAGGAATAAATATTTTCTATAAATATTTTCCATGTGTAACATTTATACTTTACCTTAAATAATAGAAATAATTATTTAAAGTATATGTAAATAATGAAAATAGCACAAATAAATACACATATTTAATATGATATAAAAACGTTAATAAATTAGATTTTAATATTGCGTTTTAGGCTGTTTTGCAAAGTCGATGCTTCAAGAAAAGTTCACTTTATAAAGTTTTTAAACCAGCATTGGGCACAGGACTTATAACATCTCATGGTAAGATATTTCAATAGCACAAAAATTCGGGAGGGTCTCAACTGCCTACATTCCCATTTGCCAATAGCTTCGTTTGCCCACAACATTTTGCCGACAGCTTCAATTGCCGACATTCTCGATTGCCTACAGAGC